ATTTTTAAATAAATTGTTAAATAATTCAATTAATATCATAGATACGGGGCTTTTCCTTGATATTCTTTTCAAGCAAACGAAGTTGGTAATAAGTTTACAATGCCGTTCAGAGCTCTTTTTTAATCGTGTCTAGTTCACGGGATATGAGCGATTTTCTAAAACACATCTCAGAGCACCTTCCCCCCTCCCCCCAAGTTGTGCACCTGCTGGGAGGGTGACAACATCGGTTTTTGTCATCTCCAAGAAGCCCCCAACAACAATCAAAAGTAAAAAAGAGTAACACTTTCAGTGCATACTCAACCCCCTATTGATGTTGGACTATAGGCCCTTGTGCTCGATGTTACACCCTTGTAATTTTTATAAGATAAACTTGTACGCTTTCTGATTGATAATGATTAGTATGTGTAATAACCGCTCCACTACCCAGGTACATAGTTATGAACTAAATCCTTAACTTTCAGATACTGAAACTATCTACAAAGAAGGAGTGGTCAAAATTTTAGCCAAGTTTGGTAAATCCTATTCAGATGACCTGAGACTAAAAGCAATGGGTACAAAGGAACAAGAGTTCTTAAAAATACTCCACGAAGAGCTGAAGCTACCCTTATCATTGGAAGAATTTTCCAAAGAATACTTGTCACACTTTACTGTTGCACTTGCCAATGCAGAACTAAAACCAGGTAGGTCCTGATCTCATATTGATTTGTTTACTAAGTGACCTGCAACCCTACTTTAATATTAAAGTTATTTGTAGAGTATTTTTTTACTGTATAGTTCCATGAACTTGTAATGTTAAATTGGGTGTTGAGTTGGCAGACAACAAGATATGGTCACATAAGTGTGTTGCCTTGACCGTTAAATGATCACAGTTTCACCAAGAATGCAAAATATGGCAACAAAACGAATGTTGTCGCGAAAACGATCACGATACCGCCCGATACCACCAGAACACAGATGTTTAGGCAATGGCGGGATATCATCGTTGCTTGCTATGAAATATTTATTCATTGGCCAATGCTGGCCTTTCTGCAGGTCGGATGTGGCCCAGGGTCGGTAGTTTAAAGACCCCTGCCCTAGAGGATGGCCCTCTTTAATCTTACAACAAATCTGTTCATTTTGGACACGTATAATTCCTGAAAAAGTGTTATACAATAATTTTGTTCTTCTTTTCTTACATGTTTGGTTTATTTTGCCTGTTAGTAATTTTCAAACACTAACTTTTAACTATTTTAAACCTAGACAACAAATAAAGATCAAATCGTTTTAATTTATGACGATGATCTTTGACACTCATTTGAGGATATATCAATAGCAAGACCAGTTATAAAAGATATTAAGTTTACACTCCAATCAGTAGCCTTTATTTGCTGGGATGTAGGTAGTAGTATATTACTTAAACAGTTATAACGTGAAGCCATTTAATTTTATAAAAAAACCTATTTCAGACATAGTTTTTTCAATTTCTAAGATTGTTCAAGGTGCAGAACGCTTAATTCAACATTTCCACTCCAAAAGAGTTCCGATGGCTGTGGCTACTAGTAGTGGACAAGAGACTTGTGAGGTCAAGTTGAAGAGATACTCCCTGTTGTGTTCTTACTTCAGTCACATCGTCATGGGAAGCTCAGACAGCGAGGTAGTCAAGGGTAAACCTGCGCCCGACATTTTCTATGTTGCTGCGCGAAGATTCAAAGACGTCCCAAGTCCAGAAAAAGTAAGGCGTGGATACATTTATTTTAAATATCTTATTACAAAACCAAAGTTCTTTACCATGCATGTTTTATGCATTAAAAAGGTTTTTTTCCTACAGTTACCTAACAATGTACATGTTCTCTCACTGATTTGAGAAAGCAAAGTGGCCAATTCTCTCATCAGTGAGACAATGTTAACATTGTCTCACTCTAATTACTTTGTCTCACCCCAGATTTGCAGCGTGTAGGCACGAAATAGTGAGCGCGTAACATGCAGACAACGTCGTATGCGCGCGAAATACGTTGGCAGCACTGGCTGTAAATCAGCTGGTCAGCTGTTGTACTGTTGTATTTGTCACTTCACATTAAATGTTATATTAAAAGTTCACTTCTGTGTAAAAATATGTTACGTTTCTTCACCAATTTATTTGTTTTATGGTAACTGTAGGAAAAATATAATGTGCAACTCGAGTGCAAAGTACAATTGCCTCACTCGAGAGAGCAATTTCTCTCGAGTGAGTCAATTGCTGACTTTTCTCACTAGTTGCACAAATAACTATTGTTAATGTAACAAAATGACATTTGTTAACCACATTCCCAAATCCAACTTTGATAATTTCATATTACTTTTGAATAATCTTTTGCGTTTTTCCAAGAAAAAGGTGGGATACACACTATCAATAATTTCACTCTGTTTTGCTATTTAACATTTTGTTAACTCTCCAGCAAAGGGAGTTGTCGATTTTGCATACAGCCCTAGTCCTATATATTCTGGATCCGTCCAATGCTTGACAATATGTTTTCTTTTGACCAAAGGATTAGGAAATTAATTTTTAACCAAGGCTAAAATATTTTAGGGCAACAGCGCACTAGCCCGACCACGACCATCCACTTACGGCCAGTTTTACAATAAATGTACCTGTATTGTTTTGTGCGGTTTAGGGATTGATGATTACTTCTGCTATGTTGCAGCTTGATTTTGACTCTAGAGTTTTTGTATGCCTTTTAAAAAGAGGCCCGTCAATATATCTTCAAATTGATTTAGTTAGTTCTCCATTTAATTTTGCAAAGACTCTCCTTTTGTAGACCTGGTAGCCAACTTTGAAATCACCCAGTATTGATTTTATTTCCTTATGATACAAATGCTAAAACAGTCTTAAGTCTTCAAAGTCTATCTCGACACTGAAGCTTGGCATGAATTCGTCATAGTCAATGTTGTGGCCGTGCTCTAGACACAAGGAATACAACTGCTAGCGGAGATTTCGTCTTGGTTGGGCAAGCGTGCCATTACACTTTTTGTATTTATTGAATTTTAGTTAATGTTAGAAGCCAGCTAATAAACACAACAAAATGTTCCACAATCCCATAAAAAATATGCCTTTTTAGGTCCTCCTTTGTGAGTTTTCAGGTAATTTTTATTTGATCCATTTTAGACTAGATAAAACGATTACTTGGATTTTTAACACAACTTGTATAAAAATACTTTTATTTTGAGCCTACAATACAATTGACCCAAGTTAAAAAAAAAAAAAATCAAAACCATCTTGGTCTAACAAGCTTTGATAGTAAACTTGTTATAAACAACATGAAATTAAACTATTTTTTTTTTGTTTTAACAGTGTTTAGTTTTTGAAGATTCGTACAATGGAGTGAAGGCAGCTAGAGCCGCTGGCATGCAGGTGGTGATGGTTCCTGAAGATAAAATATCTGAGGAAATTAGAAAAACAGCAACAGTCGTATTGAGTTCTTTAGAAGAGTTCACTCCAGAACATTTTGGCCTACCTGCCTATGACAGTTAGTTGGTTGTAAACATTTATTGAAGATCCAGCTGTTAATAATTTTATACAATAATGTACTCTATGTTAGGTAACACAGAAACTGTTGCTAAAGCCAGTAAAGCCGTGTTTTCCTAGATGCGGAAGAGGGAGCGGAGGGCGTAGAGCGGAAAAGCGATTAACATGGCATTCCGCTCCGCTTGTAGGAAAACAGTAACCTAAGTACAGTACCGGTACCTAAGACAAGAGGAGTACGCGCTCCGCTTCCGTGCCTAGGAAAATCCAGCTTTAAAGTGTATTTTAATTCTAAACCAACATTTTTTTCAAGTGAGTCTTTAGACACTTTTGTCAATTTGTATAAACAGAATCCACCATAGGGATAAGGTTGATGTTATCCGACCAAAGTTTTATGTTGTTACTGTTTTCATATTTTTACTTAATGTTGTGTTTAACCATTTCTTAGGATAGCAGTATCTATTTGTTGTTGTTTGTTAATGTAAAAATTGTTGAAATATATTTGTTAAAATTGTAATGTTAAATTGTTTTATTTCATTTAATATCTCCAAGTTATTTAATAATAAGATACAGTATTATAAACTAGGCTCCTGACAGTGTGCTTCTATTAAGCACGTAATACGTGTACGTTTGAAAATAAGTTGGCAACACTTAAAGATATTGCGACCACGATCAGCTGGTGCAGCGTTTCCCATTTCGTTCAATGTCTGGATTTAACCTAACCTAAAAACATGTTGACCAGTGTTTGAAAGACTAATTATTTATATGTTTTATAGTAACTGTAGGAAAAATATGATATGTGTCAGGACGTGATTGAGCCAAGCGAACGAGCTCATCTTGAAAATTAAGAAGTTAAACGGAGCCCGCGGGTACAGCTAGTTGTGTATAAAGTTGCAAAATTAATATACAAAATTAATGCAAAAACAACAAACAGAAATTATGTTTACAAAAATAGCCCAAGTGTTCAACTGATATTTCCTTGATACAATGACCAAACATAGATCTTCTCAAAATGAAAGCAACAAGGACAAGTATTTTTGTGGACATTGTTACTGCACTGGGTCTGACACTATTGATGGTTACTTACCTTCAGTCATCCAGATCAACTAGTCAACTAGTTCCAGAACAAAGCTAAGCAGAACACCAACATCAGCTACCAGTCTAAAATGTGGCATTCCATTGCTTGTTGTATTAATATTACACTTGGTTCACATGACACTTCCACAATTAATTATTCACCTAAACTAAATTGAAATTATAGGCATACATCACATATTTGTGGTGTAGCATATCAAGGGTTTTCAACATTAAAATTATTATGAGTTTGAAATAATTGCATAAATTATATAAATACTTCTGAAAGTTCAACAATAAGTTTTCACTCGAGGGGTTTAGTTTGGTAATATATTGATGCCTTATCTAAAACAATTTGTATTATCTGTCAAATGAATTAAATATAGACAATTTGTTCAAGCCTGTATGTGTTTGTGTTTCAAAGTGTAACTAAGTTTAAACAGTAAGCCTACTGTAGCATTTGATCCCTGATTGTTTTATAAGAAAAAAATTGAAACTATCTTGGTTTTAAATTGAACAAAATTTAATATACCTGGATCATCAACAATAGTTGGACACTGGGGACAAAATAATTACCTAAAACAATGCAGCAGTTGAGTACTACACCCGTTACACATGTGATTTTTGATCTGGATGGACTTTTACTTGGTAAGTGGTTTTAGGAAATAGAGCAACTGTACGATTTTACTACCATAAAACAAAATATCTATACTACTAATTCACCTGTTGCTCGAATTCGAGCAATTGCAAAGTATTACAGGCATTATGAAAACAAAATACATTGAAATTTTGATGGCCAGTGGGGCAAAGCTCGAGGAATTTTATTACAGGAATTGGTGAAAGGGGAAAGAGGGCATCTACACAAAAAATACTTAATTTTGACACATTGCTTGTAAAAATCCATCCATTATTAACGGAGAAGTGTTTCGTCGAAATCGCCTTCACGTTATATAAGGATTATAAAATTGAGCTGGTGTCATGTCAGTCTGTCTGTCCGGCTGCCATGACTAAAATACTAAAACCTATACAGCCCAAATTAAGCACAAAGATTGTCCACATACCAAGGAATGTCATAGGACTACTCACTTCCCTGAGTTCCTCTCGGGCTACGCCCCTTGGATGTCCAAAGTTTTTAGGTGGTTTTCAAAAGTAAATATTAATTGGTCTCCATGGAAGCATGAGAACATTCACAATCTTTGTTTACCTTTGCTTTGACATTTCAATGTAAACAGTCAGAACTGCTAAGTGCTTATGGAAAGTAAATAAAAGAAACGTCTTTTAACACTTAAAACATATATTTACGCTTATACTGTTACTCACAAGACAGTAAATATACATAAAAGATGGTAAGTGGTGATCTATTTAGATTGGACACTCCAATCATCATCAGACCCAATAGGGGAATAACAGTATAATGACGAATGTCAGTAGTCATTTTGCCTATTTATTTGGTCTGATGAGGATTGGAGTGTCCAATCAAAATCGATCACCATTTACCATCTTTTATGTGTATTTACCGTCTTTTGAGTAACAGTATAAGCGTAAATATATGTTTTAAGTGTTATAAGACATTTCTTTTATTTACTTTCCGTAAATATAATAACACGTGTAATGCTGATCAGGAAGTTATTAAATGCTTATATCACAATTTCAGACAGCTGATCCAAAAAAATTAAATAAAATATTTTACAGAAATATGTGGTAGGTTTATTTATGTTATTGATTATGGAAATAAAGAAAGATTCTATAACCGTAAGTTATGGAAATTACGTTATTTATTAATGTTAACAGTAGGACAAATACGATGTTGGCGGAATAGTACATCTTCCCGTTGCGAAGCACGGGTACAGCAGCTAGTAATTAAATTAAAATTTATCTCTATGTAAGCCCAAAAGCTGTCATACTAAGAATAAGAATAGTTTTGGATATAGAAGCGTTGTTTTACAATAAACAGTTGAAGAGACGGTTAAAAAATACGTTTAAAATTTCTATGTTATTGGTATGGAGAAAGAGTAAACTGTTTTAGTTTGCTTATGGATATATTTTGATCAAATTTATTGATTTTACTCTGAACTATTATTATTTGACGAAAAAAAAAAACTATTCCTTTCCTGTAGCAGTAAACCTAGGTATTCATTAAACCTAATAAGTAATCGTTTGAATCGTTTGAGAAAAAGGCAAAGCCCTCACTCACTCACTCATCACTAATTCTCTTACTTCCCATTTACCTAGGAGGCTGAAATTTGGTACACTGATTCCTTAGGCATTAAATAGGAAAACTAAGTTGTTTATATTCTGATCGGACTCTCGGGCTCCGCCCCAGTGGCTCTGGAGTTTCCCATATTAACCGTATGAGTACTCATATTTAAATGGAATTAATGAATCTTAACAGCTGTTTCAATTAAACAAGTTGGTTCTGTTCTATGATGTTCAATAGCAAGCATTAAAGTTACAAGGATTACCAACAGGGTGCAGCACTATTATTTGTTTTTAAATTTATGACAACAGCTAATTTGCAACCAAAAGGTGAGTGAGCGTAGCGAACGAGCTCCAACGTAAAGGTGAGTGAGCGTAGCGAACGAACTTCAACCAGGACGTGCGAACGAGGTCACTTATGAAGTTAAACGGGGCAAAGCCCGCGGGTACAGCTAGTATAAAATAAATCAGACATATAATAAAAAATATTTAAGTAAAAATCCATTCATACAAACGGAAATTTACATAGTTTGCAGGTTTGCTGTGCCGGGGTATTTATACTTTTTTGAGTAACCTTTTGAGGCAAGATACACAGTAGTAACAATTAATCAAAGCTTGTTTATACAATGTTTTATTGGTGTTTTTCCAAATACCCTAATCCCCCTGACTATAATTTACTGAGCTCTTAGCAAAATATATAATATTTATTTTCAGACACAGAGTCAATATACCAACATGGAATGGAAGACATATTGCGAAAATATGGCAAAGTTTATACTGACGAAGTTAAGCTTAAAGTGGTCGGTTCAAAAGAGCAAGATACTTACAGGATATTGGTGGAGGAATTAAACTTACCGGTTACTCCTGATGAACTGGCTAAGGAATGTTTTGCTTATTTCAAAGAGGCTTTGGAAAGAGCAGAGTTAAAACCAGGTACAATATAATTAATTCATCCAATGATTTTCTGCAGTTATTGTTGCATCCATTTACATTGTCTTCAACATTGTGTTGCAATAGTCTACCATTGAAAAGTTTAATCTTAAAAGTGGCAGTCTATTGTTATGAAACTAATAATCAGTTACTGGGATTTCAATAATGTAGAAATTGTACATTGAATAATAATTTAATACCTAACATGTACTTACTTATACAGGGTGTTGCCCAAAAATATATTAAACGGTGTAAGATAAAATTTTGCAACTTCAACATATCATTTATATGATGACTTTTCTAGCTTTTTGCAAGAAATTAAAATTTGGCCCACTTTCCCCTTTAAGGGTAGATAGGGGGCAATTTTCAAATGTAAAGACCCATGTTGTGACCTCATTTAAAAGGTCTTAATTAGTAGAATACAATGCCACAAATTTAAACTCGAAACAGATAACCGAGTCGAAAATGGCAGCCGTTCAAAGATATCTTGAATCAGCCATTTTGAATCTTTGAACTGCTGCCATGTTTTACTCAGTTGTTCTTTTGGCCTCAAATTTGTGGCATTGTATTCTACTAATTAAGACCTTTAAATCGATGTGCATATCAAATATAAATAAATATATGAAAAGTTGATATGCATACGTTTATGATTTTCCTCCAACTTCTAGGAGGGCCAGGGCAGGGCCACCCCCCTAAGAGGTACCCCATAACTGAGTTATTAGTTAAAATCATTAATTAAAACATATAAAAAAATATGTGATTTCACAGTAGTGTAGTGAAAAATATGTAGGATAAGAAAATTCAAACTCAATTAATTGTCTTATTTAAGTTACAACTAAGCTTTTGTCTCTAAAATGATTTAATTCAAAGTTCACTGAACAAATCCGACGTCTTCTAGTTTTAATACGTTTTTCCGAACATAGGAGCTGAAAAGCTACTTAGATACTGCCACAAGAAAAAAATACCAATGGCTCTAGCAACAAGTAGTGGGAAAGAAACTTGCGCCCTCAAGTTGAAGAGGTACTCTGAACTATGTTCGTTCTTCAGTCACATGGTCCTGGGCAGTTCAGACAGAGAAGTGGTCAATGGCAAACCTGCACCTGATATATTCTACGTGACTGCCAGAAGATTCTGTGACTCTCCCAATCCAAAAAAGGCAAGTTAAATCCTAATTCTTTTAATTGCAGGAATACTGAGATTGACAATAAAAGTTCTATTCCAATTTTTAGATAACCATCCCAAACAGAATTTAAACAAATTTAGTGCTTAATCAGATTAACAATGTAAAAGATGGAAATGAGATTTTTTTAATTTTATCACAGTAGATAAAAGGTGGAGGCTAAAATCACCACTAGACTCATTTACCTATAGAAAACGTGCAAAATTGTACATTTTAAATGAAAATAGTTTCACTGAGTTTTAAAATATGCGACTGTAAACCTTCCGGATATTCTTCAGTATGCTCGGAACTACAGCATAATAACTTCACACTTGAATTCATTTTCTCCAACTCACAGGTTTATTTACAACATTGCCTCAAAGAAAAAGTCCAAATTCTCTTGATCTGTATAGAGCAGCTGATAATGAACATGTACTATGACAAATACAAAACTTGAATTTGTTCTAATTTTTTGCATTCATAAACGTAAAATTTTGTAGCCCTAAAAATGTTCTCCAAATTAGAAATTTCTCTTGTACTAGTCTGTGTCTTCACTACCTACGACTAGCTATCTTTTTATTAATTGTACCAGAACAAAGTACACAAACACAATTTATAAATAAGAACATATTATATTTAATTTTTTTAGAATTTTAATTTAAATTATGTAAAACATATATTTTTTTCAGTGCTTAGTATTTGAAGACTCGTACAATGGTGTCTTGGCCGCCAAGGCAGCAGGAATGCAAGTTGTTATGGTTCCTGAAGGACTTGTAACTCCGGAAAAACAAAAAGAAGCTACTGTGGTACTTCAAACTTTAAACGATTTTGTACCTGAAATGTTTGGACTCCCTCGGTATGATGATTGAACTGGATAAAACCGACGAAATGTTTTATTATAATCTGTGAAATGTGATGTCAACAGTAACAAAATTTGTGTTGGATCAGTCATTATCCTAATAATTTCTTAAAAACAGACAGTGCTTGTGCAAGTGAAAAACCAGCTCTTGGTGATCATCGAATCATGTTTATTAGCACATAACGTACAGGTGCTTCTTTCATCGTTCTTAAAATATTATCAAACGTCCATTCCTAAGACTGTTATTTAGTTTTAAGAAAGGAAATTTGATAATATTACAAGAAGAATGAGAAAGTACCTGTACATTTATCTGTAGACTCTGTATGTTATGTTCTAATAAACATAATTTGATTTGCATGATTATATAAGTATGTTTACATTTTACAAGCATTTCATAAACTGAGTTGTGATTACTTTTGCCTAACTAAACGCTGCGCTGCGGTTATATCATCATATTTAACCGACATCAACCCGGAGCTAGGAAAATGTGTTCACCTGAGCCTGACAGCTGTTCTACCATCTGCCCCACTAGCCTTATTTGGTATTGCGCATCTTTATGTTTGGTTTTTCACTCGAGCAATGGACTGAAGTAATTTTTTAAATTTTAAAATAACAAAAATACACATTATACTTAAAAATTATTTATTAAAATTGTTAAAATCAACTATTCTACAGTCTTTACCGATGTTGGCTGGTTTCCACTGTTTCGTACTTTACTTCAACCGTCTCCACGGGGTATGTCTCATAGGTTCCGTCGTCAGTTTGCACCATCATGGGGATCTCCTCTTCCGTCATAACCTCAAAGGTTTGTCCCACGAGATCCTCGTCGTCAACCGCAACGTATATGATCTCTTCAGTCACCTCCTCGTATTCGACTCCTAGTTCTTTCACACAGTTTGAGAGAGGCCTCCGCTCCATCCGCGATGTTGGTTTGTTGTGCCGCTTACGATGCCGCCTCATGTCCGTCAGCTGTGTAAACCGCTTCTGACAAATGTCACATTCATACGGTCGTTCGCCAGTGTGCACTCGCAAATGGGTCTTGAGAAAAAACGGCCTCGAGAACATCTTCCCACACACCGGACACTTGTGGTTCCTAATCCCAGTATGAATGGCCTGGTGTTGAATTAGGTTTGGTTTACACCTAAAAAATAATCATCTTTATTATTATCGTTGCCTGTGGTTTTAGATCAATTTATAATTCAGAGGTGACCAAAATTAGGAAAGAAGAATTGAATATAATAAATATTGGTTTTACTGCTCAGAAATAAAAAAATAATCTACATAGATTTGCCTGCAAAAATTTGATTGGATTTAAACTATCACCACCTCTTTATTTAATTTTTTTTCAATTTAACATTTTACAGGTTGACCTTGCAAATCTGTGTAAATGACTTCTGTTCATGTTCTTCCGGAAAACTGTTGCAAAAGTGACTTTTCATACTCTTTATTCTGAAATAACCTGCCATCATAATAACATTAGTTTAAATTTTTTAGCAAACCAAAAACTAGAAAAGATCCAGATTTGAATAAGTTAAGTTTAGCAAATATTTTATACATACACAACAGAAAGAGCATAAAAATGTTGCATTTGTAAATAGGAATACATGACAAGCAAAACATATTTAAAAAAAATTTACAATTTGGTAAAGGATTCTAATATTATCAAACATATAATATTGTTCAACCCCAACATTGACAAAAAGGGGTGCTTCAGGATTCTGTGATTTAAGCTTGTATGTTAAAATGCAAATCACACTGCTAGCTACTTTCTAACAGCTAAGGAAAGTTTGATTTTAAGTTTCTGAGGTTTGATTATTGGGTTTCTAGTTAATTATTCTGACTTATCAGCTGACAGTAGTCAACAACAATGCTACAAGTAAAGGCATTTCATCCATCCCAAACACACGTCAAATCTATTGTTTGATGTACAATAATCCCGGTGGGCCACACGGGAGGGACGATGGCTAATATAGTGTCAGCGTTCGCCGCTAGAACCGCTAAGTTGAAAAATTTAAATTAAGTATAAAATTAAACTGCCATAACCTAACCTAACCAACCAAACTTGCTGATAATATAAAAAATATATAAGACAAAAATGAAATGAATGTTTAGGCCTACTTATAATTTTTAATTTAAAAAAAATTTAAAATTTTGTATTATAAAATTAAACTGTTATAACCTAACCAACCAAACTTGCTGATACCGTAATATAAAAAGATATAAGATCAAAATCAAATAAAGCAAAATCTTTGACAAAAAGTTAATGTCGCCGGACGGGTTTGGAACCCGAGACCTCCAGATCTCTAGTCCGATGCGCTACCAACTATGCCACGAACACCGCTGGAATCACATTGTCTCGTTACGGTAATCATGTTGCCTCAAGAGAAGACATTAGCCACTACATATGACGTCACCACACCTTTAGCCATCGTCCCTCCCGTATGCCCATTCCCAATAATCCTATGACTATGCTGAGTCACCATATATATATTTTACTCATACACATCCAACGACTGGCTTTATAGTTTTTGGGTACTCATTAATCGTGTTGGCCAAAACTAGAAATTCCTGAACAGTGAGAAATTTTCAGACGTTGAAATAAGATTTGTTTTTACTGAAATAGATTAAGAAACAAGAAACACTATTTGCATACTGTGTATATGATCAATAAATAAAAATTGCTCGTATACTATTCAACTGAGAAAACTGTTATGAAAGATTTCACTCAATAATATAAAAAAGTTAACTATTATTAAATCTCTGCAGTGACTAGAGCACTGCAGGCTTCTGAACACTCAATGATCTATTGTCACATTCTCTCTTTTTCCACACTTGACTTTTGTCACAGGAGACAAAATATTATACATTTTAATTTTTTTCTTTTCTTTTGGCCTACCTTGAGTTTTCTAAAGTAAGGTACAGTAGACTCCCTCTTATCCAAACACCTTTTAACCGGACATCGGTTTAACCGGACTACACTCAATGGAAATGACATCTCTTTAACCGGACAATTTTTATCAGCACATTGGTTTAACCGGACTAGATCGGCAGGAAATGTCCGGTACTGAAACGACTGTTTTCATGGGAAAGATTTGAGAGCAGTAATCACATGTCTAAATACAATGCTCTCCCAAATTTAAGTCGAATATCACCGTATACGGTCCGTTTTAACGAGTTTTTGGGGACGTCGGCTTAACCAAAAAACCCGTTATCCGGACTGGCCTCGGTCCCGAGGAGCCCGGATAAGAGGGAGTCTACTGTAGTTTGTATCCCTTTATTCTAAAAATGAAATCATGACCTAGAGCCTTTTGGTGAACAAAACTATGTACCGGTAATTTATTTGCCAGTATTTGATGGATGTTTGCATTTATTTGGCTTTGGCTTTTGCTGTACAAATTTAGTAATTATGTTTCATATTATGAATGACTTGCAATCTTAAATACCAAAACAGTGGAAATAAGAGAACTAATAAGGAAGTAAAAAAAAACTTTGTTTACTTAGCATAATTTATATTTTAAATAAGAAGTATTCATCCAGTATACTATCCAGAATGAAATAAATATATGTAATACAATCAAGTAATTTCAGGAGGAATATCTCGCATAAGCAACTATAAAACTACAAAGCATCTTCGCATTCATAAAACTCTTTTTGAAACATTAAAATCAGGTAAATATAAAAAATAAAAACATATTAAAATGACCCAAACACTACATTACAGTAAAAACGTTAAAGTATTAAAACACACAGTGTTATTCATTAGTTTTATTTTTAAATTTAAAAATTAAAAGTCATTAAATGTGTTTAAATTTCAGATTATGTAGTTTCCTATTGACTTTCTGAGAATCATCCACTTAAGCTAAAAGTGAACTACTTTTCTCCTAAAACCCCTGAACACCCTTTCAGTTGACGCACAGTGGATTCAGCCTCCAGCTCTGATAAAACACATTCACACTTCTCGTACATTTGTTGTCTGCATTGTCTGTGACGGTGGCACTGTATGTGACTATAGGAAGATTCTATCCCCAGGTGAGCCTCTCCTAACAATGATGACCGTGGGTTGCACCTGCGCTGGTTGTGGCGGTGGTTGTCGCGCCTGTGACTGCGCCTCGTGCCTCCTCCGATGCCTCCGCATATCTCCCACTTGCGTGAATCTCTGTTCGCACACATCGCACTGATACGGCCTCTCGCCCGTGTGCGTTCTCATATGTGTCTTAAGGAAAAACGTACGAGAAAACATCTTGCCACAAACAGGACACGTGTGTTTGCGAACCCCAGTATGCTTAGCATGATGTTGAATAAGATTTGCTTTCGACCTAAAAAACAACGTACTGTTTTATTCTGGAGTGTGGGCTGGTAGGAATTATATACTAGGCCTAGGTAAGGTTCAAATTAAATGTCTCCACCTTGGTTTTGTTATTCTTTCTAAAATGCGGAAGAGGATTATTTGTGAAAGTAAGACTCCCTTTGTAACAAAAGGCATGGCCCAACCTTTTAATACGAGGCGTGGCTATAGAATAACAGGACTGGTCTTCAAGAGACAATAGACGTGAGCCTCAAGGCCAAATGCCATATTGCCGTCTCGCCTGACATGCTCCCTCCACATTACGGCCAGTTCAATGACACAAAGTTTGGCGATAGCCTTAGTTTGTGTCGCACCATACATTTTCCAGTCGTTAAACAATTATGTTATAATTTAAAAACGTAACAATGTGAATTTTTCCAAGAAGCTCAGTAACAGTGAATCAAGTGTTGAAAGCAGTCTTTCTTGAAGTTTTTCAAGGTGTCAGAAAAGATTTCCTTCAGTTCACATTTGAGGGTTTTTGCCACCATTTAAGAACATTTTATCTAACGTTAATATTTGTGAAATAATTAGTAAGACTTATTATTGTCTTGATTCATATTTATGAATTTCTACAGTCTCCGCAGCAACTGCGCAGATACTCTAAACAACGATCTTGGCGGATGAGATTTCCTTTTATACAATGTTTTAATCCATTTCTAAAGCTAGGCACGGATCTCCTTCCATATCTTCTCTCCCTGCTTTGAATTGTTGATGTCACTCAAAAACCCATGAACATGACACACAATGATCCCCCTACATTTGCTGTAAGAGAGAAGTCTCTGTTAAAAATTTATTGAGCTTCAGAAAACTATTACGTTGCTCAATTACGAGGCCTTCCATTTTTCCTCCTATTTCCAAACCAAGCATTCTAGTTTCGTAGAACTGATCACAATATTGGGGGGAATGTCAGGCGACTCGGCAATATAGCATTTTGTCTCTTAGAAAATCAATCCCACTATTTTATAGCCACACCTCAATTAATATTTAAATAGTATTTAAACTGCCTTTAATATTTTTACCATAACAAAACAACTAAACTTTAATGTAGAATCAACAATCTTATCTTTCAAACATAATATCCTTGGACTGTAAAGGAATGACTTGGCCTTAATTTATATTCTGACAGCAAAAATATTACGAAAAAACAAAAAAAGTTAACCTAAGTAAAGGAAACCATTTCAGCAGTAAAGACACAGCAAGGCCATATTTTGCCAGAAAATGTTGGACCACTGAAATAAATTTGTTGCATGAGAAGGAAATTTGTTAAATATGAGGGAATTCTTGAAGAGGTCAAACGGAATTGACAGCTCAGACTAAGACTTTATCTCTATATTCGTTCACTATGACATAGAGATAATGAAATTATTTACTTTCCTATTACAACATAATCATTGGTCGACCCCAAAACTGCTGCAAACATACAAAAATATCATTGTTTGTTGCTTCCATTCTTCAGCAATTCAGCTTTTCAAAATGGGGTTGAGTTTTAAGTGTACCACAAGGCTCTTTTGTTACATTTTACCACTAAGTTTTCCATTCTTACCTCTGAAATTCTATAAAAATGGTTACACGAGACTGAGGTTGATATGTCTAATGAATGTCACAAAATAATGTCTACTCAAGTCCTTAAACCAAACTAATAATTACAATTAATAAGAACTGTATAAGCCCAATTTAATCATTTTTTAATTTAAACATTGAAATATACAAATATAACAATAATCCTGTCAATCCTGAATATCTCATCTATAAATTTTAGTTAATATAACAATGTTCCCCTCATTAAAAGTTTAGTGCACAGCATCTGGTCCCCAAGTTTGACCATCCATTCCAACACAGCAATTTTCCACTGTTCCCAAAACCCTCTTGTATACTCCTGAAAGTCGAACCAGACCTTGACCACTTAGAAGAAGCAAGAATAATGTAGATAGACTTTTATGATCTCTATCTATTACCTACCCTAAGTTGTAATGGGATCAAAATGTCACAATTCAAGGTGTATTACAAGTGTTTTTCAAAAACCCTTAGGGAGAGTTTTTACTAAAATAACTTTAGGATTTATGAAAAGAAATTTTAACCATCATTTGTTTTAGTTCTTAGGCCGATTATTGTGTTGTTTAGTTGTACAGAATATTTGATGGTATTATGTTTTTGTGTGTAATGTGTACGATAGTGTAAAAAATAGTAAGACAAAAATCACTAAATAACAATACCATAAAGGAAGATCACAGTTTGACAGAGAACATAATTATTCTTCAAATAGTTAAATAAATAAGAGAACACATACCAAAAGAGAATACAAACAGTCTGGATAGTATATTGGATTAATAACTCTTACCGTACATAAATCATAGTTCACTAGATACTCTAGGACTGATCAGATATTTTAAATTTTATTTTACAATTATCATCACAACTGAACAGAGTTGAGAGATATATGATTTTGTTGAGGAATACAAATATTTAACCCCTTTACTGCCATCTGCCATGCATTTTTAAAGGTATATGTCACTCACTACCATAATTTTTTGAAGGTTGAGTGATAGTTCTTAATTAGAGTGTACAGTAGTCGTACTTATCCAACTTTCAGTGTTTCCGGCTAGCCTTTAGGCACCTGCAATTTTTTATATTTTTTTTAAAGAGGTTGGCGGCCTCTTTTAACCTTGCATTTGCCCGTCAACATAGACTACAGATCTGTGCGTGGAAAGTATCCAGCAAAGCAAGGGGTGAGCCTGTACAGTACAAAGGTGAACTGTACTGATAAAATGTTTGCGGCAGTAACCAGGATCTGAACCCACGACATCGCTGCCTTGGGCCTGAAGTCCTCTACGCTACCAACGGAGCTACCGACTCGCCGACTTTAGAATATACTTTCTCTTTGTTTTTGAACACTTTTACTGCCCAGTTTGTAAACTCTTGTACTCTGCTAACCCTACACACCAAGTCACTACAAACAGTGTAGGAGGGTCAGGTTCGATTTTCAGTGTATCCACAAAATATATGTGTTTGGACCGCTTTCCCTAAAAGCGTTTGTGTACTTTCTCTACAATACCTCCTGCAAAAATGCCACCATCGTAGACAATAAAAAAAAAAACAAAAAACCGAGTCTTGTGACTTGGTGTTTGTTGCTTAAATTGTCAGTATTTAAGATACAGTGTTTAAGGTATTATACCAACCACACCTAAATTGGGTTAGGTTGCTACACCTAGGTTAGGTTAGGTTATGATAAGATAACCGGAAGATAACCTAACCTAACAGAAACCAATTTAGGTGTGGTCGGTATAATACCAAAGTACCATATTTAATTTTTACAGAAAAAATATTTTTACTTTATTTAGTTTTAAATTTGTGATTAAGGTTTTGAAATAAAAATTGTTATTGAGTTTTATGTCATTGAACATGTATTTTAAACGTTTTTTATGCTTGGATGTTTTTTAGATATTTCTTCTTTGTTTTTGTGTTGTCAGACCTTTCTGCTTATTCAATGTTGTTGGGGCTGGTTTTAGTTGGATAACCGGGACTCCGTATGTGTCATTCCACATAGGCCTATCATTAACTTTCATAAACTCAAGGTGTTATGATGATGTTATGAATACTCCAGCACAACAAGCAGTTCTCAAAGTTTTAACAAATTTGCAGGTAAGGACACTTCCTTTGTATAAGGTGGCAATAATTTTACTTTATATCTAAGTTCAAACTGATATATTTTTTTGCTTACTTCTTTCACTCAAATTTTATTTAAGCAAAGAGCAATAAAAAGTATAGACATAATTTTGGAGATTTATCTTGCCCCCCAAAAAAAAAACGAAAGCGGTGGGGCAGCATGCACGGCAGTAAAGAGGTCAATCAATAACTTATTGGCAGTATTACTCACCTAAAGGCATTTCCGCACCATTCACAAACATAAGGCTTCACATTGGTGTGGATCCTCTCGTGAATCTGAACACTCAGTTTGGTGGACATAGACTTTCCGCAATACCGACAGATCCATGTTTTCGACATTTTGTGAACCTTTTCATAGTGAGCATGGAGAGATTTTTCTTTTTCAAAAACATCATTACACTTGGAGCATTTGAAGGTCCAGTCTGTCTTTGGCTGGTGTTGTTGACAATGCTTGGCCTAGAAACAAATCACCACGTAACCTTTTGACACGTGTAAATATGAAGAGTATTCTGGGTTGGGGTAATAGGTACTCGAGTGGGCTATCCAGGTCAGGGCCGGACTTAGGACTTCAGGGGCCCCGGGCAAATTTGCCAATGGGGCCCCCTCCCCCAGTATGATCATACGAGAATATACGGTACACAATATACAGGGTTAGTAAAAAGTGTGGAGACCCCCTGTTATTTTTTTAACGGCCCTTACTAGAAAAACTAAACTCGGCACACATTTATGGCATGTTATGAAGTACTTTTTGGGCATGACCGTCACTTGGTGTACATCCCCAAAATGGGGGATTTTGGGGAAAACTCAAAAATTTCAAACACAAAGACCTATCGAGTGACCCCTCATTTTGAAGGTCCTGGTAAAAGAAAACCAAAAACGCAAACTAGAGGTCTTTATCTCAATCCAGTAAAAAATGGAAGCTGACTTAAATCTTTAGAAATCGGAAATAACTTGCAATTTTATATTCAATTGGCTGCCATATTTTACTGTGTTAAGATACAGACCTATAGTTTGCATTGTTAGTTTCTTTTATTATGACCTTCAAAATGAGGGGTCACTCGATGGGGCTTATCATTTAAAATATTTGAGTTTCCCCAAAATCCCCCATTTTGGGTTTGGGAACTTGTGATAATTTCAATTGGCTGCTATTTTGTACTGAACTGAGATAGAGACCTCTAGTTTGCGTTGTTGGTTTTCTTTTACCAGGACCTTTAAAATGAGGGGTCACTCGATGGGTCTTTGTATTTGAAACTTTTTAGTTTCCCCCAAAATCCCCCATTTTTGGGATGAACACCAAGTGGCGGTTGTGCCCAAAAAGTACTTCATAACATGCCATAATGGTGTGCCGAGATTAGTTTTTCTAGTATGGGCCGTTAAAAAAATAACAGGGGGTCCCCACACTTTTTACTAACCCTGTATATTGCCTATTACATGCATACTAATTTTAATTAAGCAATGTAAAGGTGAAATGATAAGTAAACCTGTTAGAATAGTATGCTGTATTTTGCATAAACTTATTTGATGTAATATTTTTGGTCTAAAAATAGCTACATTGTACTGTACCATGTTAAAGTTTCTTTTTGTTGTAACTGTATTTTTTATAAAATGTAATATACCTACCTTACACATTTTTTTGCAATACATTAAAATGAAATATCCTTTGTAACAAATAATAAAAACTATAGATAAAATAAAAATAAAATGACACACACTTGTAAAAGGTTTAATTTAAATTTAGTTTTTACTGTAAAAACATTCTATTTGGAGCTTAAATGAAAAAACTAATTAAAGATATAATGGAATAAGCTATAAATATATTCAAACACGTTTTGTAAGTAAAAAATAATGCATAAACTTTTAAGGCTTTAACTTTTTTTTACTTACTAGGGCCTACTATAATTTTACTAACAAACCTTTTAATACTTTTATAAGATACAAGTTTAGAGTTTGCTTTTTATGGAATAATAATTATAGGCAAATGTTTAGAACATCGTTATTTCTATCTATTTATCCTTATGTCACTTCCCACTCTGATACGAGTGATAAGCTGGCCTGGCAATTAAAACTCTTGTTTCCTACATTTCTTGGCTGCAAAATCCTCGATCACCTTTTCTAAATTAAGTCGCCGCAAAATGTCATTTTCTATGCTGAGTATGCTCAATGAGTTCAATCTTTCCTGCTTCATAGTGTTTCTTAAATAATTTTTAACAAGTTTCAATTTGGAAAATGTACGTTCGGCCGACGCATTTGAGACCATCATACTTAGAAATATTCTTAAAATAATTTCAATATTAGGAAAAACTTAGATAAGTCCATTGTCAAGTAAATATTTATATGTCGTCTTTAAATTTAGTTTTCGTGATGACGTTGCTGGTAGTAAATCTAATTCAACTTCCTCTATGGTCCGTTTCAAGGGATTTTCCTGGCTTAAAGCAAATTCTTTTCGTACTTCAGGTATTGGGTTTGGGTCGTCAACATCCATTTCTTCTTCTCTGCGATCTTCCTGGTTAAACAGTTCTGTGTTCGAGTCAGTTTCGTCTTTTTCATCTTCACTTTCATTTTCATTATTGGCTTTCAGGAGCAATTGTTACAATTCTTGATCCTCTGCTAAAAAGCATTTGAGATGTAAGCACTCTTCTAATAGTTCATTGCTACTGATATCGTTTTTATATTTTTCTGCCAGAGTGCTACAAGCAGCTTCCAAATCTTTCGCATTCAAAGTAATGATTTCTTCTAAAAAACCAAATCTCTTTGCTACGATGTCATATTTTGATGACCTTTCTTTGAGATGTGTACTTATGGAATCAATGATTGGTAAGAATACCTCTATCTTCAGTTTATCTTTTTCTGAGTGTATTGATTCTGGGGTTTGAGGGTTGTCAAAAAATGCAAGCCTAGAACTGCGTTATGTAGTACGCTTCTTCCTACAATCTTCAAACTTCAAACCTATCGCTGTTTCAGCTGATGTGAGGTATCTGTCAAAACTGTCTCTTTTCTGGTTGATGAATTTGATCAAAGAGTTTAAGAGTGTCACTGAGGTTGCAAGAGTTAGAGTGGGCTTTTGCAATATTTTGCTTACGCGATTAATCCAGGCCAGAATGTCATTCCATACATGAGTAAGAAATACTGTTTCAAAACGATCCATTGTTTTCAGTTGTTTTCAGTAATCCAGACGCCTGTATTTTTGTGTCTGCTGACTGTTCAAGGTCTTCAGCTATCGTTTTTAGTGCGGATTGTATATTTGTGTAGTTATCTTTTATTGCAAAAACCGCATCGGCTCGAGCTGACCATCTTGTGTGTGACAGAGCCTTTACAAATTTTTGTTTACCTTTAAGGTTATTTAGTAGAACTCTCCATCTCGAAGTAGAAGATGAAAAGAAAACGTAAATTGACTGGACGAAGTGGAAATCTCTAGCAGCTTCTGAGTTGCACTCTGCTGCTGAAACTCCAACCAAGTTTAATGAATGGCTTGAACAAGGTACAAATTCGGCTAATTCATTTATTGCCTTTATCTTTGCTTGGAGGCCATTAAAACGCCCACTCATGTTGCTGGCGTTATCATAAGACTGTCCACGGCAATCTGAAATGAGTATCGTACTTGCATTTAATAGTCCAGTAACTTCGTGAAAGAGGTGGTCTGCTGTATGTGCAGAAATGGGAATGAACTTCAAAAATCTTTCTTTTGGCTCACCCGATTTCATGTATCGAATAACGAAAGTTAGCTGGTCCATATGTGAAGCATCTGGTGTTGAGTCTACTGAGAAGGAGTAATACTTAGATGTCTTCACCTCCTTTATAATTTCTTGTAACACTTGCTTCCCTAAAACATCAATAAACTCATCGCAGATTTTGTGGAATAAGTAAGAGGTTTTCCCACTTCCAGTACCTCCGTACTTATTTATATGCTCTTTTAAAAACGGGTCATATTCGCTTAACAATTCAAGAACACCTAAATAGTTTCCATTATTCACATTACCGAATTTCTCACAGTCGCCTCTTAGAGGAAGTCCACGTTCAGATAGGAACCTAACTACCGAAACTATTCTTGTTAATACATTTCGCCAGTAAACTTTTTCTTTATTAATTTGGATTTGAAGCTCCGTATCTATTCTTCCAGCCTCAGAAGAACGCTTGAAAAACGTTAGAAGGCACTTACGGTGATTTTTGCTATTTTCATGGACCGAAATTCTATCAGCAGCATGTTTCCAGTCATTGAACCCATCATAACAGAATGGATTCGACGACATTGATGAAGTATCAAATAGTTTACACACAAAACAGTAAACTCTACCTCTTGATGGAGAATATAACAACCAATCTCGTTTTACTCTATCACCATTTTTAAGGTGTCTGTAGAAAAACTTAGTTTTACATTTCCTTGTTTCTGGGGGTTTACCGGTTTGGTCGTATACTCTGGCTGATTGGTTGAATCCAGCATTTAGATTTTGACAGCAAGAGGGTCCTTTTGTTATGAAATATTCTTGCAGTTTAGCTTTTGAAAATTTATCCCACATTGCAACATCCAAGCTAGGGAGATCTTCACCCTCCAGTTGGTTCTGATCATCATTTTGGATATGAGTACACGATTGTTCATTCTCACCCTGTGCTGGTGGAACTAATTGCAAACGTGATTTCGGTAGGTTTGGTGACGATGACAAAACTACGTTGTTTGTCTCTCTTACTGGTGATTTACAACCAATTGATGCCTTACTAGGAGTTATGCCAGCGTCTGAAAAACCGTGTTTTGCTCCATCAGTAATTAGTTGCAATTTGGCTGAGCTGCAGCTGTCTATATCGTCACATGGATTCTGATGTTGGTTAGGTTCAAATGAAGAAGTAGAAGCTACACCACTTTCCAAACTGTCAGATTGACTTCATGAAATTTTAAAGAAGATGACAATTTTGGTATATTATCAGTGAAACTTTTTTCTTTTTTAGATTTTTGACGCTTTTGAGCACCACTAGGATAACTTCGCTTCATTTTTAGATCATACTTTCTAACCAGAATTCACTTGATTTTTATCGACCTGGAAAACAATTAAAAAAGCTGCAAATCTTTGATTGATAAAACGCATTACTATTTTACTATTTTAAGTACCCCTACCCCAGGCCCCCTAGCTGTTAGTCGTACTTTAATATGAATAATCATGAACTCTATTTTATTCTCATGGACCCTGAATAGCCGTTGTAATTACATATATTCCAAACGGCGAGTAACTTATTGGAAATTTATTGGCAAAATTTTGTCAGCTTTGTATACTACTAAGTAAATTACTACAGCAAATAAAATAGGCTTGGAACTAGGTTTTTTAACATTATGATTCATTAACTCAAAAACACAACTGTTGGGTTGTAGAGATTTTGTTTTTTTTTTCGTAAAAAAACCATAAGATATAAAATATGACTTATGTTTATGTTTATTTTCATAATGGTTTTGGTACCTATGGCATTCTCGTTTTTATAATATGATAAAGTCCTAGCATGGAAAGTAGCCTACCATTGAGGACTTTCAAGTTTTGAGTTTTTTATTAACGAGAAAAATCTTGCAATCTTGCAATAACAGTCTAATAAACGCTCACAAGCTAACTATATATAAGAGTAACTGAAAGATGTTTAAATGGATCCAATATCGATTAATAAAACACAAACATAGCATTGAATATAACATTACTCACTTCAGCTTTGAAAACTTCATTTCAACCAAAACTAAAACTTGACGTGACCACTAGTCTCAAAGGACAACGACAAACTATGGGAGTAAAGTGATTTAAATTGTTTTGGATAGGCGATAAGGCATTTTATGTGTGTGTATGCGCGTGCGTGAGACAGACAGGAATAGACAGGATGCATTATCAGCTCATTATCATTTATTGTTGCAGCTGCTTCTGCTTATCGCTTGTTTACGATTTCAGTCGACAACGCTCGCCCACTCCCAATAAATGTAATTTTTTGTTAACATCAGACGACTATAGTTGTTGTAAAGTGCCTATATAGATTTTAAAAATCTTACTGGCGCTGTATGATTTTGACTCCAATGACTAAATTGGAGATCAAAATTCTGACGCATAACTTAATTAAGTACTATTTTACAAAACCTTTAAATTGAACGGATAATATACTTCTACCCCTTAAAATCCTGATTGGTATATACTTAGCGGTAAAAGAAAAGAATAACATTTAATAAAACATACGTGGAGCAATGTTTTTATTTTTTAAAGTATTTGAACTCCAGTGAATCTCAATTTAACACAACACAATTTTATAAGCTATGTTCTACGTCAGACAAGAGGTTTTCATATTTATTCTATTTTTGTCCCAAGCGTGGGGCCCCCTTCAACTCATTCGCCGCGGCCGTACGTTCGGGCGAGCGGCTTCATTGAAACTGTAACTTGTCCGTCACAGCCTAGCACATGCTCGTGTAAACCAGACCTAAGCGTGGGCCCCAGTACAACTCTGAGGAAAAGTCCCTTAGGGTCAAGAATTTCATTCCTAGAAATGCCTTAAAATGCACCTAACAATAACCTTAAATACAGGATAACAAAAATAAAAATATAGCTGTTCCAAAGAAGGCCATTTGGTAAATGTCTGATTAATTAAAAAAAAAAACATTAAAAAATTTGAAGTTATTAATAAAAACTACTGTGCAAGGGGGCCCCTCCCCCTTGGCCCGGGGGCCCCGGGCACTCGCCCCCTTCGCCCATAGGTAAGTCCAGCCCTGAGCCAGGTGTTGAAATAAAACTGCACAAAAATTTACTTGCTTAGTCCTTGTAGATTAACCTCTCTTAACAAAATCCTTAACAGAAACAATACTACTTGATTAATCTTGATAAATTTATCGAAGAGACAAAATAATCTTATATTTTATAAAACCAATGTTAATTAACTGTCCTAAATATCAAAGGCCAATCTCATTTAGATTAATATTAGCAATTAATTACTGGCCAACAACCCCACCACAGAAAATCTGCAGATAAAGGGAATTTCAGTTTGTCTAATTGGATTTTACTACAATATTTTCAATTTCATAAACAAGATATAGTATTTCCCCATTGCAATAACATTAGATCTTACGAAGACTTATGTTTGATGCCACGGGGAAGGTAAAAAGTGTTTTTTGACCAAATATTAGTAAATAAATGATATAGTAGGCCTAGAACTAATTTGCCAAGTTTGATAAAAATATACCTGTAAACAAGGAAACTGCAACATTTTAAATGTATTCTCCATAGAAATAACATGAGAATATTAAATTTATAGTTTTTTGGAACTTTCTCCATACAGACTACAACTACGATTCAATATATTAAATTATTTGTTTTTTTCAGCTCTACATAAAAGTTTAGAAAGAAATTTCAAAATATTTTACTTTGAAGGGGTCAAAAATGGAAAAAAAAAATTACTTTTACTGCTTAAAACCTCATCCCCTTAATCCGATCATGGTGGTTTGCAAACTCATTCAAGTTTACCCTACACGTTCATGCCAAATTTAATCTAAATTAGACCAAAATTCTTCTACTTGTCGCGTTCACGGACACACTCACTCACATACATATTAAAAACTAAAATTTGAATGAATATCCTTTTTGGCCTATGTGGACAACAAAATGGAAAAGTAATTAAGTTGGTCCCGGGTCTAGGTCTTACCATGCAGCGTATGGTAATAGCTTCTTCCCTATAGAGGAAGTTCACTGAGATGCGTAAACCACAACAAAATATTAGTAAACATTATAAATTCAAGAAATAATTTTCCACACTTACCAAGTTTATCTGGCGCTTGTAAGCTTGTCCACATATGTAGCACTTATACCTTTTCCCAGCCGAGCTGTTACTAAATCCTTTGTCCTGAAACAAAATTACGACATATGAAATTTTAAACAGCTGTACGACGTAAGAAACAGCTGATGAAAGAAATGTTAAACACAGTATTGCTCTCATTGTTAGAAGTAGTACAGGAGAGTTCCAACTATCTAATACAGTATTATGTGTTTTACGACCCTCTCCACGGCCATCACCTAGTGTTAAATTGTGTTTTTTTAGAGACCGGGTGGGGGGGGGGCAGTTTTCCAGTCACGGACACAAAAATTTTGTGGTCAAACAGCTAACCTAACCTAACCAACCAAACTTGATGTAACATTTCAAAATTTTATATTCCCCAAGACTTTTCTGTTATCAAACGGAATTACTCGAATTAAATTTGCAATGATAATTATTAGGTATTTATGAAATTATCTTTAATACATAGCATCACATTTTGCTAGGGAGGGAGTATTCCAGTCGGGGACACGGCTCCAATATTGGTTAGTTGGCAGATTTCCTGACGTCACGTTTCATCGGGGGGTGAGGTGGTTTTCCGTGGGGTAGTATTTTGCATCCTTGTAATAAATCCCATATAGTATCGGATGATAGGTCTCTATTTAAGGCTATTTGAAATCATAAATATCAATTTATTAAAAATTAAAAGGCTTTAAAAATGACTCACTAAGGAAAAGCAGGATAATATTGTTATAAGTTCATAAAAACAAACGCTTGTTGTTGTCTCCAGATAGTTCCGATGATTGTTGAGGGAGCACAGCACCTCCCAAGCAGAGAGAAACAAAAACAAAATTACAATGCTAAATATTTTGAAGAGGAAAAGGGGGCCACTATGGAGTAGCCAGCCGAGCTAAACAGGAATTGCGTCTAGAGGCCGCTCCAATATATATAAGAACTATAAGCTCTAAAGTAGATATATTCTAAGAGTGGCTGGCCCGAGCTGCGGGGATACTTTCAGTGCTGACAATGTCGCGTCATTAAACAAAATGGAGAGGGAAACTAAGTGTGGCCTTCCCGATCCATAGGGATGGAAAAGAGAACGATAAATACGACCACAAAGTAACAACAAACATTGAGCAGAATCATATATCACAAATCTGAGTATGTAAAGTACATAAGTAACCAATATATTAAAACATGTCAGTATTATTCTGCCGCCTTAGCTCATTATTATACAAATTGTAATAGTAATTAATAATGAACAAAAGACTTACACAAGTGTGCTCTGTGGCTTCCCCATTTCCGTGGACCTTCTGCTCACAAGCCAAACAATCATTTTCTATTTTCAATCCGGAGTGAGCCTGCAAAAACATAAGACAATGTCAAAGTAAGTTTCTTTTATCTAATCAACAATAATCTGCAGAAAATAATAAAACTCTACTTTTACATCTACTATGCCTGATGCGATTTGCATCAAAAGAGGGTTCTTTAGATGTGCTAGGTATGAAACAGTTACATATAAATTGATTTAAGAATAAACAATTAACCGTACCACTAAATTTAGTTTAGTAAAATTATCTTTTTTTTTATGCATGTAAGACTAAGAGGTTACAAATCCCGAAGATACCTACTTCAGTGGGTGTATAGGTTCTAGGTGGCTGGATTCATGTTTGAAAATAATGCACCTAACTGTGTGATTTTATTTGGAAAGATGTGCTTACTTAAAATTGTACTTTCTAGAGCAAGTATCTTTATTTGTAGATTATCATACAAATTTGATAGAAAACAAATAGAACAATTCTACAAAACCTTTTTCCCTTTCGTCATTGAAACTCACCCTCCTTATTAAACAATAGCCTACACAAATTACCTCAATGTGAATAAAACATAAACAAAAACATATTTAACACGTTCCCTGCAGCACATCGAATGGCCCAGTGCGGCACAGCCCGCAGTGTCAAAAGAACCCGATTGCCATGTGATTGGCTTTCAAGTGTCAGTCTGACAAATAGCAAAATAACATGCGGTGATGTCCTGCTTTACGACGAGAGCCGGCATAGTTTGCTAAAACACCCACAGATAGCAGCACTGCTTGGAACATAGCCGGTGCCATTATGATTGTATTGCCAATTGGAGGTAGAAAGACGGGACAACAAGTTGAGCTTCCCAGAGGGGGCTTTTACAGGGAAATTTACTACCAACCTACACCACAACAAAAAGCAAGTCACACACTACACGCTAAGGTGGTATAGGTTCGCCTTCGACAGATGCTAGAGCAAAAACAAAGATATACGAAAGGCATTGCCAAGCGTTCCCGATCGGGTACGGGCGCACACAACCATATGATAACTTTAATATCAAGGGATTCTGAAGACTAACATGGCAACTTTGAAAGCCTGTGGAGGGTTTAAAAAATAGGCCTATGTCCATGTATGGTCTCTTGGCTCTATTCATGCAAAGTTTCAGCTCAATTGGACCTGTAGTTTTTACTTGATTGACCACGTGACATACTTACAAACATCTTAACTTTCACATTTATAACATTAGCGAGGTTCTACTGTACTTTGTCAATGCCTACCTGCATATGCTTCATGAATGGAAGTTTCGACGTGAATTTCTTATAGCAGTGGGGACAGAAGAAGAGTTGTTTGCAAAAGTTATTGATGTGACGGTTGAGCAGACACTTGGTAGACATGGTCTTGTTGCATTGAGGACAGCTAGGCGTACTCTCACACTTATGTAGCATGTATATCTCATCCGACTCAAACAGCTCACCTACGACAGAAGTTATAACTAGCTGGGTGAATAAGTTATAGAGGTTTATAATATCATGAATAACAGTTTGATACTTTGTCGCCGGTTCAATTCAAAGTGTGATTGTTACCAGGATTTTTTAAATCCAATAAAACAAATAAAGCATAGCTTTGAGGAAAAGGAGCCGCAGTTTAATCAATCCATTATTGATATGGAGACACCCCCTCGGTGTGTATTTCAATTAAAAAATGAGTGAAGTATGTGGTTGTAGATTGGAGTGAGATGATCCGTGTAGCTTTGTTTTAGTGACTTAGATCAGCTGTTTGATTTAGTCAGTACCCCTTGCTAAAAGCCGGCTGAGTCCGGTATCGAACCATCAAAAAGTTAAATAAGGTCTAAACTGCAGGGTTGTGGAATTACCAAAAATAAACTAGCTGTTGATTTGGCGGTATTCAATTCAATTTATTTATTTATTTGTGGCATAAACCAGTTTGTAGATTAAAGCTCTGATGTAAGTTTCAAGTACTAATTACAAGACTAGAAGTGTCCATCACAGATTTTCCACAGAAAAAAGCCAATAACCAAACAATTTAGAACCCTATCAGCTACATCTTAGCAACAAAGTGATAATCATCTCACCTATGTTACAGCCATAGTTTATGTTTACTATCAATGGTTAAAAATAGGTCTATAATCCTCTTAATAAATTATTACAGAAATTAAGACCGAGAATAGCTTTAGGATGTTCCATTGAGTGTGGTGAAAGTTCAGAGATTTGAAGATTGCTGGGGTAACAGGAGAACGACTAAGCTAAAGCCTTCAACAACAAACTCACCACACAAGGAGCAGATCTTGCGAATGGTAAACTCTGTGTTTGGAGGCGCTTGAGCATTAATGTGGTTGTTTTGTATGTGTTTATCCAGTTCCTCCGCATCTGGCAGCCTAGCGTCACACAGGTCGCAACTGAAAGTCCCGTCCAGCTCTATGCTTCGAGATCCACTACAACACAAACAGGTAAATACAAAAGATCCTTTCCTTGGGCATAAACAATGTTAAACACAAAGTACTGTTTTAGCAATAACCTAATTTAATATCGCCTAATTTGAAATCAAAGTGAATCTAGAAATTAATTTACTACAAGTACAAAGAGAACGTATAATGAACTTTTTTAACAATTAACTTTAAGCCTTTTAAAAAAGCTTGTCCACAGCATTTCTTATAGGTAACCGTAGTGTCTTTTCCACCACATTCTTGAATCAGAGAGGTTGAATAAAAATTAAGAGAGAACCGCAAATTTAAAATAATTAGCTGATTAGTATACTTGGTTGTGATTAAATTCAAATTACAGTAATAATTATAATCTCACACAATAAGACAAATACTCTGTTTTAAAAAGTGACTTGCACAAACGAATTGTGCTGGAAAGCACGGTGCAGTAGAACCAAAGATGGCTTTAAATGGTTCAATTTGATTTTGTTTGTGTTTCTACACTTTGGTAATTTTTGTAAGAAAACAGGCCAAAACTGTGTCAAAAAAATGTAAGGTAGTGTTCTCCTGATAAGATTTAAACCTGTTGTCTATAGTTTACATAACTATGTATGATTAATGGGAGGTTAATAAAAACAAACTTTAGGCACCCTTTTACAATTAAAACTTACTTATTTTCTGTAGGATACTCTTCAATCCCTTCTTCGGTCTGTAAAAACATTTTTTACACATAAATATCAATTTTTGTACAATTTAATGAATTTAATTTGATAATGAAAAAAGTGAAATCATAGTCAATCTGTAAAGGGCAAAAATTTAAATTATGGTATCTTTGATATATTTTTCTTTGGTTAAAAAAAATTATTGCAAAATAGGTGGCTATTAAGAGTGCAAATTACATCGTTGCCGCTTGAGAACTATAGATGGAAGCCATACCATTCGACTTTAAAACACAAAGTCAATTAAATCAAATGACTTTATTAAACCAGCCAGTTCTTGCCTACTACAGTGAATGTAGTTTAGTTTGGTTTAAATTGACTGATTCAAAATCAAAAATACTAATGTCACGTTTTTTAGGCACCTAGAAAATCTTTACGTTAGGTTATTCTTGAAAATTCATCGTTTAAATACCCCAAGACTTCAAAATGTAAAAAAAGTCACTGGCGTAAAAACACAAGCCAGGGAGGAAAGGAGCTCTGTGACTTAAGTAAAGCTCAGTTTGTAAACAATAAAAAACTTAAGTTCACTGTCACAGTAATCTAATCAATGTACTGATAAAAGACCACCTAATTATATTATTTCTGGTCCCACCAGAACGGCTGGACGCTTACATAATAGGCTACTGTACAAATTGTTTGCCAGATTTAATATATTCTTCCAAAGTATGGTAAAGTTTGTAAAATAAGGTTTTCTGTAAGCTTCATTTTCCAAAAATCCAACATTGTCTGGTCCAAACCGGAAATCTACAATCAAGATACCTTTATTTTTACATCTACTGCATTCTTCAGACGATTGAAAAAGAACTTTTCAGAAGACTGGGCTCTTTTAATGAGATCAAAACAGCTTTCAATTCCATTTAGGCATTTCCCACATACATGATGAGGCAATTCATCGTTTTGGTGGATCTGAAAAAATCATCTGATAAGTTTCTAAAAATTAACAGCCATTAGTATTCTTAAGATAATTGTTCCACTTAAAAACAAAGGCCAACACATTTACTAAATGAAAAATCAACCACTGTTTCAACTAAAGCCAAATTTACCATCATAGTAAAATACTGTGTAGTGAACCTACATGTTGTCTGTTTATGTTTACTCTAAGAAAATATTCAAAAATCACAATTAGGAAGGTGTAGAATAAAATGTTATCACATATTTAAATGCTCCACTTTAGAGGATCAAAAAAGTTCTTGTGGAAAAATCTAAATTCAACATGCTAGCGTTTTGTGGCAGGCATAGGCTCGGTACAATATGAGCGATGCTCAAGGTTTCTGACTTTTGCCAAAAAGCTGCTTGCCGCTCCAGTTCATGCTTCAGTTTTATTATAAACCATAGTGGATGTTGTAAACCTGACCTTTTCTTCTCAACATTCCATCTCAGTCTTCTCAAACTATAGTCAAAAGTAGGGATTGACATCATCCAGTCTTCAAAGAACCTATCGCCATCTTTACTAAGCTACAGTGTTGTTCTATTTCTAAATTCTACTTTTAACTAGGTTATATTAGTCCACGCCACATAAAATGTAGCTACTGTACCATCCTTACAGTTATAGGTAGAAATGAAGTGATTTTCTCCAACAAATAATCATTTTCAAAAATGTAGGTAAGTTTCCCTTTTTCATTTTGGCAGCTGCATATCCTACAAAAGTTGTCTGAAAAATAAAACAGGCACATTTTTTATTAGTATCTCAAAACTTGTACAATTGGTTGTATAATATAATAAAGTGGAAATACTTTTAAAAACAAAAACAGTAGAGAGCCATAATTAGGTCATTTAAATCTTCTGTTGTCCGACTTTGCATGCCATCCAAATTCTGCATGTTCAATCAAATACTCATGAGATCATTCAGGCTAGGCTCTATTTCTGTTTGGCAATGTAAATTTTAGCAGGCGCATCACACCAATTAATTTTTATGCCGTCAGTAACTTACTTGAAAGAATCTAAAATCCCTATAATTGATATTCTTGGATACAAAATTGATGAAAATGTAATTTTTTTTGTAGGATAGGTACAATTAAAAAAAATCCTAAGTTAAGTTTACATATTTCTGTAGTCAAGCTGAATTTTAAAATATTGTTTTAGTAATTTATGACTATAGCTAAAACTTACCAAAACAGCCCGGTTCTGCCTTACATTCCATTATAAGGATCTGCAAAATAAAGTGAATGAATAAAAACAGAACTAACATGATTTTTTAGTTAAAATCTGATTTTTAGTTAAAATCTGATGTTTTGGTTAAAACATCAGACTAAAACATCAAACTAAAACCCAAGGGTTTGGACTGTTCCCTTTCAAAGCGTAAAAAAAGCCACTGGCGTAAAAAGACGAAAAAAAAATGAACTAAATGAAATGAGGTGTGTATTAAAAATAAATAAAATAATGAAACGCAGAACTATAGAAAATTTTATCCTCTTTAATATGAGACCTTAACTTCTACCTTCAATGTAGCAGGTGAAAACAGTAATCTTGCAAAACCTTGCATTCGGTTGCGTGTCAGGATTAGAGCGCACACTTAATACCCTAAATCATTAAAACCTGTATTAAGTTAGGACCTTTAGGTTTCTCCCGCCTAAACAGAATCAAAATATCATTTTGCAGGCCAAAAAATGATTTTGCAGTCCAAAACATCAATACCTATATTTATACATCCACAAGAGTTTCACTTCAGGAAATTTAAGGCCTGACTTAATAATATTTTAATCTTTCCTAAGTTCTAACTCTCACACGAAGGGGTTCACACGAGTGACATACCTAGCTGACTAGACTGTGACTAGGTAAGCCCGACTAATTTAGGTAGCGTTAAGTTAACACAGGATACACCGGTTCACACTAGCAATATGCCCACGGACTAGATGAAAATATCGATATCAAAACTACTCGGATCCATCACTGGTGCACAATGAGAACAAAGGGAAGAATGCGAGCTGCAGTGCGACTACTCGATCGCTCGTGTGAACGCTCCCATAGGTAAGGCTACGGTACTGCTACACCGCTAAACTGGGTAGCTGCCACGAGTGACTGGGAAGCGGGGCCCGACACCAAGCTCGAACGCGGCTCGCTAGTCGTCGCCCTACGCTCCATTTGATCCTGTGGTCCGCTACCCAGTCTGGCTTAGGCCTACCTAGTCACAGCCTAGTCGGCTAGGTATGTTGCTCGTGTGAACTGGGCCTTAGGCTTACACATACTCTCTTGAAATTATTGTTAGGACCTTTACTATTACTGGACCTAGCCTAGTTTGGTTGTATTAGGCCTAAGTTAACCTCTACTCTCTAGTATTTACCTAAATGATAAAATTTAAACATGTCCTGTGGCAAACTTTGCTGGAAGGCCTTATATTTCCTTATAGGGTAAGTTAGGCCTAGCACCTTTTTTCTTATCAATTGAATTTGCAGTATCAATGTGGAATATTTAACTTCATTGTATTCAGTTGGGGCTAATTTGGCCATATAAGTTAACTTAAGCTTTAACAAAAATATGCTACCTTTGAACATTAAACTCAAAGAAACATTAAACTTAGGGTAGGATGAAAATTGAACAAAATAACCTATTGTTTTCCACGGTAAAAATATAACGTTTCTCTTAACAATTAATTAATAATTGTGAGTGTGACAGACAATTTATTTTTGAATGACCTTGAGAACTAAATTTGAGTTCAAGTAAAAAGGAAATGGGACCTAAAATAATACTCATGAAAAGAAAATCGTGTAACTTAATTTTGGTTTAACTTATAACCATTTTAAATTAATAAGGAAAGGAAATACCAGTAGAAAGAAATAAAGTGAAACACGTACTTCTCTTTGGTCTATGGACATGGAGCATTAGGGATTTCAGTTAAGTACTCTTTGACTATAGTACACAGAGAAACTATTTTCTAGACATTGAGACCGTAAAAGTATTACTCACCAATTAATTATTGATGCTCTACGATTTTCTTTTAGAAAGTAGATGATTAGTAAAGACACATAATAGATAGGAGTTTGCACCATAAAATCTAACTTGTCACGCAGATCCAGGGCAAATCCACCTCCGCCAATCGCCATTTGCAAGATGGAGACGGCAAACAACATACGCCGACACGGATTGCGCTTTTTCTTGCCGCCCTTTTTTTGAAGCTAACCCTCCGACCTCCGGCTCCGAGTCCGACAGTCAATTATCATTACAGTCTAACCTTGATATAACGAACCTCAATATAACGAATTCCTTGATATAACGATTTTTTTTTAATCCCCTAGAACTCTCCATAAGAGACTATGTATATTTTACCTCTACATAACGAACAAACCATAACAATGACCTTGATTTAACGAATTTTTCGTGATTTCGGCTAAAATAAGACACCTCAATATAACGAATTTATCATTGTCAGAACCTCTACATTGCGAATTTAACCTCTGAATAACGAATCGTCTACGTCTTTCCCTTGATATAACAAATCCCCCACCCCAGTATTGTTTTTGGAAAATCTGTTTCTTTATAAAATGAAATGGAAAGGTGACGTCATCGCTTGCGCTAACATTCGTCTGCTCCGTTTTACACATCTCTCTGTCTGCTGTCGCTGCGCACGCAATGTTGCAACTGAGAACTGATTTCATTCACTGAGGACTGATGACGACGTAATCTGTAGTAAGCTGTGATTGGGTGATAAGTAAATATGGTGAATTGTACAATTTTTGGATAAAGAGAAATCTAAGAAAGAATATAAAAACAAAAGCAAAGAGAAAGAATAGCAACATCGTTATTTTAATATTCCTTAATTTACGAGTGTTTTTATTATCTTAAAGTTGGCTATGAATATGCACTTTTATAATGACTTATCTAATAATTTATTGTTTTCAATACGATTTGTTTCAACTAGCAACACCAATGCTATAGTTAATGATTATTATTGACATTCCTCTGTTATGATAAATCAGTACTGTAGCCTACGGTAGCGTACTGGCCTATCGCGAGCAGTAGCTTACACAACTTTCTACTGTTTTGTTTTGTTCTTTACATGGTTTATGACTACGCACGCAATGTAGTGTTTGACTAGTCTTTAGGAGGGTTAGAACAAGCTGTGATTTTAAACTTAAAGTTTTTAACCTGTACCAAGGCAAATGCCATTGTCATGATTGCGCAATATTCAAGATCCCTCACCTTTATTATGCCGGATAATTTAGGTTCTACCATTGACTATTGAATACAGAAGGTTCTACTGTACAATGAACACTGTACTGTAAAGTATTGTAGCCTATGCTACTTTAATTGTGTTTTAATGAGGTCAAATCCCGGCCTATATTGACCGACACTGGTTCTGAACCTCGACTTAGCGAAATTCCTGCAAACCTAACCTCTATATAACGAACCTCATTTTAACGAAATCCTTGATATAACGAATATTCAGTTCGGTCCCTTCAGATTCGTTATACTGAGGTTGGACTGTATTATCAATAATTGACAACCATAACCATTAGTCCATTAACCATATCGGTTATTTTTCTTAATGTAGAGTAGAAGTATTGCTTCCATTTAATCAATATTTTATACAATATTAACTTACTATTTTAAAATCTGGAATTGGAAACTGATATTTATAAGTGGCAAATAATTGCCACCAATATTGATTTCGGTGTAATCCGACATTAGGATAGGTAATCAATAATGAAATGAGCATGATTACATTGTAGCTTGATTAGTGAATCGAAAAAAACTGATCGTTATCGTTATCAACGTTTGACATAATAACTTACCATTGATTATATATCTTCATTCTGTTAGTCGTTAGTCTATGTTATAATCAGTTAATAATTATACCTATGGAAATTTCTCTATTTTCTCCCCGTATACATAGGCCTAGTATATGGAGAAAGTGTTGTTTTCGTCAACATTTTTGAGTTTGAGTTTTGTGTGGATATCCGTTTGGGTCCCCATGCACCAAAAAAGTGGTATATGTCTGCTTCGATCTGTGTGTGTGTGTGGCCGTGTACAGAGCTACAGCTACAGACCCCACCCAATGCTGGACTTTCACCATGGACCCCAACCCCCACCAGTAGTACGATTTTGATTTTTGGCATGTGGGTACTAATAAAAGTACTAATTCATAGTATCTGGGGTGTTATGGAACAGAGTCTTATCTTATGTCCAGTTTTATGGATTAAAAATTGGGTTTTCTCATTTTTGACCTTTAAAACATAATATTTCCAAATATTTCTCTCTAAACCAGTTTGAAGAGCTTAAAAAATAACTTAGTGTATTGAAGTGCATTGAAATGTTTTTGTACAGTTATTAGTTACAAATAAATTTCCTAAAAATTATTTTAATTTAAAATCTTCGTGTTATTATTCTTTGAGAGAATAAGTAAACCGTTGTAGTTTAAATTGCTTGCTTTTAGTTAGATTTTATGATCAAACTTGGAAAATTTTATTTATTTTATCCTAAGCTATTAAAATCCCTTAGTATAAAATAATTATATTTATATTTTATTATAAAATAATAAGTGTTATTGCATTTTGTCAGGCTATTGCTATGGCACAGCCCCCAACCTTTGACAGTAAATGCCCCAACTTTGTAAAATTTATGAAAAGAGTCATTCACCATAATTAATTTAGTTATACTGCCTCCGCTCACCCTATTAAAATACCATAAAAAAATACCCCCTATATAAAAAAGTACTTAAACAAAGTTAATAACATATTGTAGGATCTTTACTAATCATGGGCCTATAATTTATACTTTGGGTTCAATTGCCAGTCAGGCTAATGGGAGAATGTTTTAGCAAATTTCCCATACTTTGAGGGAATAAGCTATACCCTTGTAGGTCTCATGGTAAGACCTTGACCTGGGACCAATTTACTTGTTCGTTTTTGTTTTGATATCCACAGAGACCCAACACAATATCCATTCAAAATAAAGTCTATTTATGTGTGTGTCCGTTTGCAAAATATAACTCATTGAGTAAAAAATTATTCTATTTCAATTACGTTTGGTAGGATACAAACGTGAAATGAAAACGTGTTTATTTTAACAAGTTACCAAACCAGCATGATCAGACTAGGCCTATATGTGAACAGGGTTTTATGGGGTGATAATGAATTTTTCTCATTTTTTACCCTTGAACAACTCAAATTTCCCCACTTTACTCTAGAGCATTTTGTAGAGCTAAAAAAAATCAACAATTTTAGTATATTTATGTATTATTTTACAGTTAAAGGCTGGGTAGAAAATTGTATTAAGTTGTAAATTAGAAACCCCAAGTTATTCCATGGAGAATAAGTATAAACTGTTTTTATAGTTAGCTTGTTTATGGATATATTTGTAACACAATTCTATATGTTTCAAGTTCATTGTTGGTGATAGTGAGTTAATGTTGTTCAAAGGTTTATTGCGGACATTTTCCAACACGAATGTAAAAAACAATACACAACGTTTCGGGATCTGGAATCTGATCCCGTCCTCAGGTGAAAAAAACTTAACTAACACATTACAACTAACAATACACAAACGCCCAACCTAAGTTGGAATACACTACAGAGGGTAGTAGTCAAAAAATATTTTTTGACTACTACCCTCAAAAAATATTTTTTTACTACTAGGCCTACCCTCAAATAATATTTTTTGACTACTAAACCTAAGTACTCATTAAAATGCCTTTAAGGGACACGAAAACCGCCTGTTATGAAGAAAAGTGCCTATCATTGAAGTCAGCTGATAGTCTTTGGTAATACTGTACACTTTTCCCAAGAGTCTTCGATGGTTTACGGTATCGTAGGCAGCTGTTAAATCTACAAAAGCGACACCCGTGATCTGTTTCCTCTCAAACCCATCCTCAATGTGCTGGGTCAGGTTTAAAACTTGGCCACAACAAGACTTGCCTGATCGAAAGCCTGCCTGTTGTGGAATGATCTTTTGTTCCAGAAAATCGCCTCAGGGTAACGTCTTAGCCCCAGCTCTTTATAACATTTACACTAACGACCAACCGTTGCCAAACGCTACACGTCAGTATATATATGCCGATGGTACGGCGGTGGCGGCACAAGGTAGGAGTTTTGAAGAGGTGGAACAGAAGCTGACTATGACTCTAAATGAACTTTCCCAGTACTATGACGCAAATCACCTCAAGCCGAACCCTGCTAAGACCCAAGTTTGTGCCTTTCACCTAAACAATAGAGAAGCAGGCCGTGAGTTGAATGTGAGGTGGCGGGGAGACCGTCTTCAGCATTGTCCTACACCCAAATATCTTTGTGTCATACTGGACCGTACACTGACATTTAAGGTGCATTGTATTGCGACAAGAGGTAAAGTCTTAGCGAGGAATAATATCATCAGGAAGCTCACCAGCAGATTCTGGGGTGCTAAACCCTAATGTCCTCAGAACCTCAGCTTTAGCGCTCAGTGTGTCGGCTCCCTCCATCAATCCGACGTGATGTCGCTGCCGACGCAGAAAGGACTAAGCAAGAGACAGACTCTCGTCACCCATTACACGGCCACCAACCTGCAGAGCGACGGCTTCGGTCCAGAAAGAGCTTTTTATCACGGACACGAGTCCTGGATGGATCACTCTCAAGCAATCGGGTGGCAATGTGGGAGGCCACGTTGACTAACCCTCCCATACCAGCCAGGGAGGAACTGGCTCCTGGTGGAGGCCTTAATTACACGGTGTGGAAGACCCTAAATTGAATTAGGGTCGAGGACCAAAATGCAAGACAAACATGCAGAAATGGGGTCTCTTACCAGACGAAGAAAACATCTTGTGCGTGTGTGGTGCTGTTCAGGATCCTGGCCATCTGCTGATCTGCCCACACCTAGACCAGTCTTGCACATTAGATGATCTTTTACATGCGAATGACAAAGCCATATCGGTAGCTAATTTTTGGAAAAGCGAAGTCTGATTTCCGGACACGGAAAGTAGTAAGTACTCATTAAAATTAATGATACCTATTTAATTTGACAATTTTGAGGATATTAATATTGTATGAAAAATCCAGGCTAGTTAATGGAAATTTGAGTTTTTCCTAACTTATTACTTTTCACTCTTTTCAGTAACTTCCGAGACCCCCAAGTAAAATCAGTTACTTTTATGTTTCATTGATTTCCGTGAAAGGTAGAAACCCTATGGAAATGCATAGAGTGACATACTAACATCTTACTCAAGAACAGAGCCAACAAAAGCAACAGGTAGTTTAATGTAATACAAGTTCTTGAACCTGAGGTGGCAAAAATTGTATATAAAGTTACATGTTAACATATTCTTTCCTTCAAGGTACAGTTTGAGCTCCAACTTCAAACGTCATTCCTAGAGTCCCAAGAATTCCTTCTATAGTCCTCGCCACCCTAACTTGAGGCAGCCCAAGGCCGCACGCCGTTTATCTATTGCGGCCTTGGGCTGCCTCAAGTTAGGGTGGCGAGGACTATAGAACTCAGGTTACACGGCTTTGAGGGAGTTACTTCAGAAAGGAAATAATTATCAAAGACTTCATAAAAAGCAAGTGTAAATTTTTTATTCAACAACATAAGGCATGAGTGATTTATCGCTTGGTGTTCAGGCTACTCTGTTCATTCTCAGGCTTCTGCGACGTGGCAACAACAGTTGCTATGACTTTTCGAACTCTACGATTGATTCCCATCAATTTGCGTTTCTTCTTTTTCTTCTTTTTATCCAAAGAACTGCCGTCCATGTCATCACTCTCTAAATATGAAATAGCACTGTTAGGAAAATCATTTATTGAGGAGAATCTATATATATATAAAAGGCAAAGCCCTCACTGACTCACTGACTGACTGACTGACTGACTCACTCACTCACTCATCACTAATTCTCCCACTTCCCACTTACCTAGGAGGCTGAAATTAGGTACACTGATTCTTTAGGCATTAAATAGGAAAACTAAGTGGTTTTTATTCTGATCGGACTCTCGGGCTCCGCCCCAGTGGCTCTGGAGTTTCCCATGTTAACCTAATTAGTACTCATATTTAAATGGAATTAATGAATCTTAACAGCTGTTTCAACTAAACAAGTTGGTTCCGTTCTATGATGTTCAATAGCATTAAAGTTACAAGGATTACCAACAGTGTGCAGCACTATTATTTTTTTTTAATACTTGACAACAGCTAATTTGAAACCAAAAGGTGAGTGAGCGCAGCGAACAAACTTCAACCCGGAGGCGAGCTAGCGCAGCGAACGAGCTCCAACCGTATAGAAGAGTGAGCGTAGCGAACGAACTTCAACCAGGACGTGATTGAGCCATGCGAACGAGCTCACATATGAAGTTAAACGGGGCAAAGCCCGCGGGTACAGCTAGTAATGATATATAGAATACTAATTGGGCAGCAAGTCAATAAGGTTACTCAAGACTAAAGTCACATGACACATTTGTTAAAGCAACTTTTTAGAACCCTGTAAATAAAACCTTTTATTTTACCTTATTTAAATCAAACAACAAGGATAAAATTTCCTACATAAATACAGACTAGGGATGAGCATCGATAGGTCAAACATCGTTGTGAAAACATTGATGTTTTTGGGGTACTACCACATTGATATTTTTCAATGTATTTTCAGTTTTTCGTCTGCTTTATGTACTCTCCAGTAATGGAAAACTTTGCTATCTCAATACTTAGCCAAAAACACGGATGTTTTAACAAAAACATTGGTAACCTACCATCGATGTAAAAAACATCAAACATCGATGTAAAAAACATCAAACATCGATGTAAAAAACATCAAACATGGATAGAGAAACATCGATGTTTCGAAACATCGACAATCGATGCTCATCTCTAATACAGACCCATTTGATCAACTTCAAAACTATAGGGTCATCTTGCTGAAGAACAAAGATCTTCCTTGTAATTATGTTGGACGAAAAAAATAAGTACAGTAGTTTGTTTAACAGTTCAAGTGTTTGCTTTGAAGAGTTTGCTATATCTTTTAGACGTCAAGACGTAACAATCAATGTACTTTTCACTGGTTCCTTCTTATATTGTCCTTAGTCTTTATTATATGTTTAAATTGTATATGTTTGATTGGCTACTGAAAATGATCATAAAATGTAGATACAGTGGAAATTAAAAAATAATATCAATTTACCCTTATGATAACAAGTATCTTTTTCAAATGTCCATAGTTTTTGTCACCCATAATCAAAAACAAAACTCAAAATCTACTTTGATAACAAGTCTAATTTGACAATCCCCACGAGAGACTTGCTATTGAGGCTCTATTGTACCAAACTACATACTAAAATAATAAGTTTATTTACCAGCTTCGACATAAGAATGTATTGTAGCCGTGGCAACAATACCACCTTTACGGAAGCGACTTCTTGCAGCAGGCTGCTTACTAGATTTCTTTCCTCGATTCCTAAAGCATAAATGTGATAATAGAATGGCACAAAGTAATCATTAAAACATATCAACTTTATTATTGTTTAGACCAAGTTTTGAGGCCATTTCATGGATTGTAACACAGATAACGGGTTTTAAACCTAAGTGATTTGTTATATTGTAAACAGTAAGTATACTGATCGTTTTGTTATTTTGATAAAAGTGTATGTTTATGAATCCTCTAAACTAGTACAAACCTAACTGAATATTAGATAGTAAAAATATATGAGGGTCGTTTGGAAAATAACATCCTTTTAGTCCCCGTGTGTAAAATAAGTGGGGGTGTTTCTGCCATCCATGTGACAGACTGGTGGTACTGGTGTGGCTATTTAAAATCTATCTTAAATATCTTTTAGGTAAGTGATGATAAAAAAAATATCAAGAATAAGCACTTTTAGGAAATTTAATGACTAATCAAACAGTACTTAAGTTGTAAAGATTGGTTAATAAACAACCAATAAGATATAACAATTTTTGCAAAAGTTATGGAGTTTGAAAGTTATGGATTCATTTGTGAAAATAAGACATACAGACTGAAAACTAGGCATCTTTGACCCATCTTTATATGATGTTTTTGTTTTTGAATTGTTTTGACCTAAGAAACAAATATACAATAGGGTTCAAGAAAGATTCGGGACACCCTGTATAGCTGGGATGTCTACTTCTCATCCAAAAGTCAATGATCAAACTCACCATGAGGTGTCGGAAGTTCTCCTTGCATCTTCTGACAGTGATAACCCTTCCCCTGTCGACAATGATTCAGATTTTCCTTCTTCATTAATTTTCATAATAAGTTTTAGATTTTGTTCACCATTTTTCTCAGGCCTAAAACATTGCAGTTGTTTATTCGTACATTGTTGGAACTCCTCAACAAAAAAGTGAACTGTTTTTCCTAGGCAAAGCATTATACAATAAAATTCTGAGTCAAATAGAGCGGTGAGCAGGATGCGCATGCGCTCCATAACCCTTCCCCCACCACTGTCATCTTAAAATGTATTGCCACTGGGTGAATTTAATACAACTAGTGTATGTAGTGGTGTGACTCTCAGTGCTGTTGGAAACCTTTTCTCATCCCTCCCTTACTACTCACCTCTCCCATACTACTCACACCTCCCCTACTACTCATCTCTCCCATACAACTCATCCCTCCCATACTACTCATCCCTCCCCTACTACACATCCCTCCCATACAACTCATGTCTCCTATACAACTCATCCCTCCCATACAACTCATCCCTCCCCTACTACTCATCCCTCCCCTACTACTACTCATCCCTCCCCTACTACTCATCCCTCCCCTACTACTCATCCCTCCCCTACTACTCATCCCTCCCCTACTACTCATCCACCCCCTACTACTCATGTCTCCCATACAACTCATCCCTCCCCTCCTACTCACCTCTCCCTTACTACCCATCCCTACCCTACTCTCATCCCTACCCTACTACTCACCTCTCACCTACTACTCATCCCTCCCCTACTACTCATCTCTCCTCTAATACTCATCCCTTCCCTACTACTCACCTCTCCTTTACTACTCATCCCTCCCCTGCTACTCATCTCTCCCCTACTACTCACCCCTCCCCTTCTACTTATCCCTTCCCTACTACTCATCTCTCCCTGAAATAGGTACCTATTGACACGATCTTTAACAATAAACAATATAGTACATATTGCATTCACTACTTCAATACATTTAAATACTTAACAAATGCAAGCAAATAATATTTAACTAAATTCATAGCAATTTAATTTCAACTACATAATATTTTTCTCTGCAGTTTTAAGAGTGGTATTATTACCAGTAAGTGTTTCTAAATGGCTTTTTCCTAGAACTAATACATTATCATTATACAACATATTAGTTTAGTATTAAATTTTTTTTACATAGACTTACTTCCTCGTTGTTTTTAGCTTAACTTTTTTCTTGCTACTCTGAAATGAAGGAGTACTGTCTTCTTCTTCCCCCATTTTGTGGGACTTTGGTCTTGTTTCTCTTGTTTCTATTTGTGAACTATTTTTATCTTTTTTACTATGTTTGTGTTTCTTTAAAACAGACAACTTTTGTGAACATGACCTGAAAGAGAGTATAACATTAAGTTAATAGGCATAAGTATTGAGTACTAAGCGGGGCTGGGTTACAGCATAGGTAACAAGGTGTCTAGAAAAAAATGTTGACATATTTGAACACTTTTTAAATATTAACACTATTTAAAAGGGGATGTTTACAAGCTGAAAGATTACTAGATTGTTTTACACATAGCTTTGTAGACTAGCCAAGTGTACACGTTCCACTCGCTCAATAGCTGCTATCAAAAAGAATCTGGAAAAAGTTGATTCTGCCGGCGACTTGACACATCACTAACTAACTTTTAAGTGACAAGATTTTTAACTATCCAAGTGCATCCACAGTTGAGGAATTGGTTTGGTTATTAACGGGAACTTATCGAAAAGGTTGTGCAACATTAGGTTGCTTAGTTAGGCTTCAGTCATCGTTCAAGTATCATCCTGTACTTGCCTCTTTGGGGGTTAAAGATTGTACGTACAGTCTAGTGATGTGTGTATCGATACATATCGATACAGATATCAATACAAGGACCGGAGAACATTTATATTTCGTATCGATACGTGGGAGTGTATCGATATGCCCGTATTGATACACCTATAGCCAATATCGTATTGTTTTTTTTATTAATATAAATCTTATTTTTAAGGTAAAAAATTGTCTTCCCAGCTTCCTTCCCTCAAATGTAGTAGTAGAAATTTGATATTTTACCCTACCATCCTCAAAACACTGATAAAACATGTATTTTCAGCTATGTTTTGCAAATAACCTCAAAACTAGGGCCACCATTAATGGACGTGGGGACCCTCATTATCCATAATATATTATTAAATGCGTAAGTGGCATACCCACCATCATTGTAAGTTATTTTTTGTATAATTAATTAATTATCCATGTGTAAAAACTAGGAAAACAATAACAAAATATTTTCTAATTTTGAGGGTATACAGGAATTCTGAGGTTATTGAGGAGTGATACAAATAAAAAGACACAGAAAACGGCTTTTCTGAGGTAAGATCACTAAACCTATCTTATGCTTGTAAGTAACATAGTATTTGTCTATGCAGCTTGTATATTATTTGAGATATTTACATTTTTTTCTAAAAATTATAAATAAACAAAACGATACGATATTTTATCCGATACGGGTAAAAATCGATACATGAGGATACGATACGATACACCACGTTCCGATACGTATCGATACACAGTATCGATACATTGACCCGTATCGCCCATCACTAGTACAGTCCTATAAATATTTGTCAGTAGGCCTAGTCCATACCTTGTTGGTGATAGAGGTGAACCTATCTCGAAAAAGGAATCAGCTGTAGGCCGTCTGAGGCATAACCTATGAGTGAACTAGGGATAACCCCCAAGCCTAATTAGTCAACCTTAGTGCAGTATGGCCAAAGGTGTTACACAAGCTAGGGTGGTGGATCGCGATCACATAAATAACATGCGTACAATGTGTCGAAGACCAAATTTAAATATCACACATGTGAATCTTTACATAAAATTCCAAAGGATTTCCCTAAGTTAGGCTTCCATCTGCAGACTTTTACTGCTTTTTGGAATTTTTCATAGGAAGCCTCACTATTCTAGTTCACAAACAAATTTCTCTGACCTTCAAAATGCATCAGAGTACTTTATCTATTCTTAATCTTGAGTAAAAATGATTCCACAACATCTAACTAATACTTTACCTTAGCAGAGACTCGTTGGAGCTATGAGAGCGGCCCCAGCTAAGAGGTATGTTCTTGGTACAGTCTGTACAATACTCGACACCTGTCCACACAGTCTGCTGCAGTGTGATGCTGGGCTGTAGTGTCAGTCTTGTCTGTATCTCATGACTCAGCTCACACCTGACAACAAACCATACCCAGCTGAGAGGTATGTTCTTGGTACAGTCTGTATAAAATACTCCACACCTGTCCACACAGTCTGCTGCAGTGTGATGCTGGGCTGTAGTGTCAGTCTTGTCTGTATCTCATGACTCAGCTCACACCTGACAACAAACCATACCCAGCTGAGAGGTATGTTCTTGGTACAGTCTGTACAATACTCCACACCTGTCCACACAGTCTGCTGCAGTGTGATGCTGGGCTGTAGTGTCAGTCTTGTCTGTATCTCATGACTCAGCTCACACCTGACAACAAACCATACCCAGCTGAGAGGTATGTTCTTGGTACAGTCTGTACAATACTCCACACCTGTCCACACAGTCTGCTGCAGTGTGATGCTGGGCTGTAGTGTCAGTCTTGTCTGTATCTCATGACTCAGCTCACACCTGACAACAAACCATACCCAGCTGAGAGGTATGTTCTTGGTACAGTCTGTATAATACTCCACACCTGTCCACACAGTCTGCTGCAGTGTGATGCAGGGCTGTAGTCAGTCTTGTCTGTATCTCATGACTCAGCTCACACCTGACAACAAACCATACCCAGCTGAGAGGTATGTTCTTGGTACAGTCTGTACAATACTCCACACCTGTCCACACAGTCTGCTGCAGTGTGATGCTGGGCTGTAGTGTCAGTCTTGTCTGTATCTCATGACTCAGCTCACACCTGACAACAAACCATACCCAGCTGAGAGGTATGTTCTTGGTACAGTCTGTATAAAATACTCCACACCTGTCCACACAGTCTGCTGCAGTGTGATGCTGGGCTGTTGTAGTGTCAGTCTTGTCTGTATCTCATGACTCAGCTCACACCTGACAACAAACCATACCCAGCTGAGAGGTATGTTCTTGGTACAGCCTGTACAATACTCCACACCTGTCCACAGCACCTTGGAAGACATAAGCAGTAGAAGACTGCAAGATCCAAGTGTATAAGAAGAAATTTGCACGCAGAGTGTGAAGACTTGGAGTGCCTAGGCACATATACACTGAGTACAGGTATCTGAAGTCAAGCTAGTCTGAAGAAAAAGGATCATCTGAACAACTGTCCAGGCCTTGAGGAACTGCCATTTGTATATAAATTTGTTAATAGAAATGGACATATTGTAAATAGACTTCAAAACAATAAAGGTACAATACAATTTGATTATCAGTAATTGTGAGAGTCCTAAACACCCCTGAAAAAGTTTGAATGTACAGAATAAGGCAAATGTAGGGAAAGTACCTTATAAATAAAACATTAAAGAACTGATAGAGTTTGTGTGTAGCTGTTGTTTCTGAGGTACCTATAATATTTACTGCATCATGTTGTAATGGTTACCTCAGAGCCAGAGAAGTTCTCTGAGGCTGGTGCCTTCGCTCCTTCTCAGCTCTCTCTGGACTCCACGAGTTGTCACCTTTCCTCGGCAGACTCGGAGACTCCTCAAGTTTGTCTGATAACAATAGTTTTTTACTTAATGTTGACAAAGTTGGTCTTTTATCAAAACAAAGTGTTGAGTAAAGGGTTTGGACGAACAGAAAAAGAAGGGAAAAAGGTAAATAGGAGGTCTTGTATGAAGCTCCAGACATAGTAGCCGAAGCTTAAAGTTGAAGATTGAGGTGGACCGAATATGTTATTAGAAGAACTGCTGGGGCTTTAATAAGTAAGTGTGGAGTGAAAACCCAGAAGGGAAGAGACCTCCTGGACGTCCTAAAATGGGAACTAAGGAGAGAGTTAGTGATTAAGTGACCAGGGTGGGTACCGATATCTCACCTCCCATTGAGAAATCAAGGGGAGTGCCTCAGGGGAGTTGTCTGGGGCCCATTTAGTTTTTCCTGTACACTGCAGATCTGTCCAGATATGTGAGACACTGCAATGTGCATTCATATGCTGATGATTGCAAGTTGCATTTCTCGTACAACATTCAGGCCACTGTGCAAGCTTTTGCAGGAGTGAACTCTGATATTTCAAAACATATCTAAACTTACCTTTCCCACTGTCTTTGCCTGGAGGTTTTTCTACATCACTAAGCGATTGCATTTCGTATACCTGCAAAAAGCAAAAGGCCTTTCACAGACTTATCATGCATAATACAGGGTTATTACAAATGATGTTCATGATTTCATACATACGTGAAATATAGTTTTATTTGTTATACAAAGAAATAAAATGGTTACAACTTTTGAAAAACTCAAAAAGTTTTGACACAGATTCAAAGAACTGTAAATGCTCGACACGGGAACCCCTTGTGGTACGATAGATGTCAATAATGTAGTCAAGCTCTTGCTAGACTTTGAAAAGTGTGTCTAGGTCTATTGTTTCGATAGCATTGGTAATCCGTTGCTGGGCCTCAAGTATGCTATCTGATAATGGTGGTGTGTACGCCTTATCTTTGATGTATCCCCACAAGAAAAAAATCAGGGGGTGATGTCCGGAGATCTTGTAGGCCAGTTCAGGGGGGTGTAATTATTCGGACCACCGAGCTCGTTCCGTATCTCAGGCAGCACATTGTTAAGTTCAGCCCTACTACAAGTAACATTCAAATGCAGCCATTTCTCTAAAATTTCAAGTGTCACTTGCCAATATAGTGGTTACTAGGAGGATAATCGTTAAACCTGGTTCTAAAGTGTCGTTGCACACTAATAACAGATTGGTTAATGTAATATTCCAACTGGCAAAAAGCTTTCCTGCCATCAAATTCAGCCATTACACAACACTTACAACAATTGACTTGACAAACAGCTGATATGCACCCAAACCAATGTAAATGAAACTTTATGAGTTTTTCTTTCCAATGGTACCAACTAAAATAGTCTTGAAACAAATTAACCCAATAATATTTATAATCAAAATCAGGAACATCATTTGTAATAACCCTGTATTGCAATATGAATTTTATTTTATTTTAATAAAAAGATATTTTCCATGGTCACTTGAACAATTAAATATGTATGTGTAAAACAGTTTAATAAAAATAACATTGAAATAATTAATTAATGATGAAAATTATAAAACTTGTTGGAATTAAAATTGTTTTGATATCCTAATGAATAAATTAACATAACATTTATTACTTCCTTATCATTATAAATTGATTATTGAGGTGATGTTATGTTTATTGAATGCCAACTTACAATGTCACAAGTAAAATATAAGCATTTAATTCAAAAATTAATTTACCACAATCTTTTCATACCATAAGTAGGCTACTAAAACAGTTTTTTATAGAACTTACTTGAGCAGGGGTTACTATCAGTTCTGGAGGCATATCTATTTTATCACAAGATTTGTAAGCACCTGAAAAATAATCTATTAAATACATTGTTATTAACGGAAAGTCAAATGAACCACATCTTTGTACAACTTAACAATTTATTTTATCAACAATACATTAACTAATACAACAACCAATTAACAATTGGCATACATTAACAATTTATTAATTTATTCAATTTATTCACTGGTTTCAAAACAAAATATTTATAAGAATATCTAATAAAACTATATCCGTGAACTTTTGAATATTGATGGACCCATTCCTACGTTGAAGCTTAGGCTGGGTTTCCAATAGTCGAATAGAGCCACTGATGTGTGCAAGGCGCTAATGCCAACTACTGATTCAATTACACTACGCAAATCAAGAATGAGACTAACTCATTGTAAACAATAGCATAATTTAAGTCACATCAAATTAATATAATGGTTCAAAAACTAAAGGAGGAAATTAAAACTTTTAAAGTAAAAAAACATTCTGTATAATGTCTCATCGACTATGATCATTGACTATTGGATACTGAAGTGATAACTGGCTACAGCTGTTCCATATCAGTCTTCTAAGATAGAGGTACCTTTTCCGCCAGAAGGATCCTGTTTATTTCTACGCCTCGATGACGGACTATCATCACCGGAGTCTTGCTCTGTGGTACCATCAAACACATCACTGCCTCCCGGATCTAGTAGATCCAGGTTGGCCCGAGGTATCTACACGTTCAAGTTGGTGAATATATTTGAATATTTTGTCACAAAATAATGTCAAAAAAAAAAAAAAAATATATGAAAATGAGTGGATGTTTTGAGTTTCAGTTTTGGACAAGGGAATCTGTGACTAGTTAGGCAAGAAAATAAACTCCACATAGCTTGGGAGTTTCAGATGTGATCAATTTTAAAGGGGAACGATACAATTTTTGTCAATTACGAGACGCTTAATGATCTGACATTGAAAGTATACACTAGCAGTGTAGTCAGCTTTTGAACAAATTTAATGAAATAAGACAATATAAATTTCAAGCAAATAAGATATGAACGTGCTTTAAGTGCTGATGTGAGAGTAAAAAGTCCTCTCAGACTTTGTTTTGGGACAGGTTGGAGGAAATATTGGCTTATGGTAGCAAGGATGTGTATAGTGATCTGATTAAACAACCTTATTTATAGTCTCACCTCACATTTTCATTATTTTCAAGTAAGCATCATTGACACACATAATGAAGGACCAATAACAGACAATGCTAATAATAGCTTATTCCCTATATGGGAAATTTGCTAAAAAGAAGCTCTATATTTTCATAACTCCAATTGTATTCACATTATATGCCTGTGTTTGAAACCCTCTACAAACATCTAACCCCTTAATCACTATGGCTTTATTGTCTACAGGGGAGAGGAGAAATGAAATAGTGTGTTTTCTTCTTATGCCAAACACTACTAGACAGACAAACGGTTGGCGACCCTACCTGTAGTATTTTTCTGGTTACAGGTGGCGACAATGATACAGCTGATCTAACCTGCCTTGAAGCATCACTCAGGTGGTCTCTTTTTGACTGAAAATAAAATTAAACATATTATTATTTATCAACCAAGGGAACAAGAGAGGACAAAAACTACCTACCTAAAATATAAAAAAAAAATACTTTCAAGTAAACCTTCAAAATGCTGATACCGTTTATTTAGGCTACTAATACCTCAAAATTGAATAAAAATAGTGTAAAAATCTATAACAATTTATTTAATCGTTAAAAATTAGATTGCCTATTACTTCATTACCTTTAGTAACGTGATGAAAACCAGCTGTTTTGCTTATAACTTAGGGGCGGTTTGGGAGCTCGGTATCAGCACTAGTCCGCGACTAAATCCGGATATTTCCGGTATTTTAGGCTGCCGCCTCGAAAACGGGTTTGTGAGCTCGGGATCAGTAAGGCGTGCGCCTAACTTGTGCAGGGATAATCTCGCGCCTAAATATTGTTGGTTTGGGAGTCAAGTAGACTTAGGCGCCAGCCTAAGAGATAGTCTCGGTGGGTTTGGGAGACCAATTTCGGGACTAAGAGATATGTTTTCGTCATAAAAATCAGTGAATTTAGTCCCCAACTTTAGTCCTGCCAGAGGGCAGGTCTAAGTCGACATCATGCCGGTATTAGCTCATTAGTAAGTTATTTGTTTACATATTAACTAAAAGAATGTTATATTGGAATTCGTTATTAAATTCCGAACATTTTCATTACTCTCAAAGTATATTTGATAAAACTTTTTTTTAGTTTTCTGATGTTCAAAATAAAACGAAAATCTTGCAAAAAGCTAAATTTAACGAAAGATTATTTGGTTTTTGTTTTTACTGTTAACTGCAATACAAATATGGACCGTAAATAGAATCTCTTTCAACTGAGAGTTTGGCTATAAGCACCCGTACCTTAATTATAAATATTTTATTAGTAAGGAAATAATTAGCAACCACATGCATACTCCCCACTCACCCCCTACGAAAGAGTGAAGAGATAGTAAACAAAACATAAAAAACTGCAAATAGCTCACAGTCATAATCGTTATCTTTTAATTGCGTTGTGATAGAGCTCAGTTCAGTGTCATTGACCAAGTCCTAGTTAAATCAAAATGGAGTACCTAGATTATTTGGAGTATAAGAAAATATATACAGTATATCAATAACCCGCCACAGAAAACCTGCAGACTAAGCGAATTTCCAAATAACCTAATAGAGCTTTCAATTAAATTTATTTAAATAACTTAAGGTTTAACAAGCACCTGAAACTACCTACGGTGTAGGTATGCTGCTACAGGGAGGGTAATAAAGGGTGTTTTTTAACAAAATATTAACAGCTTTATAAAAAATAAATAAATTTGCCAAGTTTCATAAAAATATATCCATAAACGACCACACTAGAACAGTTAACTTATTCTCCATAAGAATCACATGGGAATTTAAAATTTACACTTTTACCAATAGTCTCTGTAGCCAATAACCGTACAAAACATTTTAAGATATTAATTTGTTTTTTATACTCTTTAAAATACTCTTTACTCTTTAAATTACTCTTTAACATATTTTTAAGACAAAGATTTATGTTGTAGGGGTTAAAATTGAGAAAAAATCTATTTTTTTCCTATACAACTCCGGGTTCCCTTGGTCTGATCATGCTGGTTCGCGAACTCATTAAGGAGAATCGCGCCTAACACTTTCATGCCAAATTTTATCAAAATCAGACAAAAATTACTCAAGTTATCACGTTTATGGACGTATATATAATACATTGGCTATACATATATACAATTTTGAACGAACAGTGTTTTTGGCCTCTAGGGACATCAAAATGGAAAAGTTTATCGGTAATAATGTTAAACGATAATCAAGGTAGGGTAACCCATGGGACTAATAATTTGTACAAAATAATTACTACAATATATACATAGGGGCTACTGCCCCTACAAGCCACTAGTTTTTTCTAAGTACTGTACATAAAAGATTTTTTTACATTTACCTTGGCTTCACTCAATCATAACCTCCGCAATTACTTTTTATTTTATTTTTTTTCAATATCCCTATATTATACTGGGAAATTACTGTTAAATTTTGAAGCTTTTATTGCATGAAACCGAGTTTCCGATGTTAATCCTATGTTGCTCTGTACGTATTTATAAGGTGTAGTACTTAAAAGACAACTAGTAGTACTTAAGGACAACTGATTAAATAATTATAAATCGTAAAGTGAAAATAAAATTAGGTCTTAAAAGAATTTAATATAAACAATTACGGTTCTTCAGTCATTGGGATGTAAAACAACGATACAAAACATTCAAAACAACATTTTTGCAATGGTACAATGCAGAAACATACACCATAGTCTACTAATTAGCCACCATTGATATACCAAGATAAAATTGTATCCATCTGCAATAAGTGTTCATCTTTTGTTGTTGTCAACGGTGGGTTCTGCAATGGCCGTTGCCAACGTGAAAACCTGAATTCCCCGCGATTCCCTGTCCATCTAGCCGCGCTGCAACTTAGGCGCGACTATACTTGATCTACGACCATTTCAACTTAGGCGCGAGCTCCCAAGCCTGGTTTGTGGTCCGGGGACTAAAGTTAGGCGCGTCCAACACTAGGCGCGTACTAGCTGGGCTCGAGCTCCCAAACCGCCCCTTAGAAATCAATTTGTAGTCAAAATATTTTAATTTGCTGCATCAATATCTTTATGATTCAATATGGTATAATCACATTTAGTTGTTTTAAGTAATTCTAAAACAAATAAAAATGATGAGGTTATTATGTGATATTGATCCAAATATAAACGTCTGTTACTGGCAGATCCCTAACTTGCAGAGTTATATTCTCACACACGTAACTCATCAATTTTAAACTTCTAACTGCACCAGTTACAAGGGAATTAGATGTCTAGTGTGATTATCTTGTTATGTTTTAGGTAGTTTTCCTACCAGAGGACAGAATCAGTCCCCAGATCCCAAAATTTTGTGAAAACTTATTTAAGCTATATTCTACCAACTTATTGTAATGAAAATTTAACACAATAATTTCTTAACAACAGTTACATACCTTGGCAGACCGGTGGTGAGGCAGTACAGGGGAGGGGGGAGGTACACAGGGAGTTAGACAACAGTCCCGATCTACCCCCACTCCTGCCGCACCCTCCTCTTCACTGCAACTGCTGGTGTCTCCCTCGTCACTGCAACAAACAAATGAAGAAAACAAGGATCCTAGAGGTTGACTGGGACGGTGGCGTCGTCCTGTAATCCAGAACTAGGAGATCACGAATTGTAGATATTTATAGGCATGCACTGTAGATGCGATACTCCAAGGTGTGGATTAATATCCGCACTAGTGAGTACTACGACTATCCGCAGTACTATCCTGATAATTAAACCAATTTGTTAATTACACTATTACAAGACAAAAATGTGGTTCGGATTCCACTGTAAACTGTAGGTTCCTTAGTTGCCGTTGGCTGTATGGGCCATTAATTAACAGCTGTGTCGGCCTTAGTCACTAACAAGACTACAAGATAGCACCACTCATCCTACACTCATCTCCATTCATACTTGGCTTAAAATACTTTCCATTGTATTAAAGAACTCCACCAATTCAGATTAAAGAATTAATTTTGTCTGCAGGAGGGTAAGGCTATGGTAAACATAACAGAATGTTAGGTTGAGCTTGGGCTACACAGGAAAGGAAACGGATAGAAAACGGGCAGGAATGTGTCTGGTTACTGTTTTTTGTGTTATCAAATGTGAGCTGCTACATTAGACAGTACACAACACTTTTCGTCTCGACACTTGTGAAATTTGGGGAATACTCAAAAGAGCATTTGATTGACATTTTCTTCTAAAGGGGTTTTCCCTGAGTGTCTGTCCTTTCCTGTCTAAGGTTCTTGAGATTCACTATGTCAGGAACATTCTGGTTGCAATGTGTGTTCAGTCGGTTATTGTTCGACTCCCCTAAAAGAAATATTCACTGGTGATTTCCTTTACGTGTCCTTTGTAGTGTAGCCCTAGTATCCGAATTCGTCAGTATCATTTCCTCTCCTTTGTATGTCTCGCCTGTTTCCTTTCCTTTCTATCTAAACCATTAATAGTTAATATAAACATGGTAATTATTTTTGTGAGGGCAAGTCAAAACCCAGCACAAAGTATTAAAAAGATACATGTGTCTTCAACACATTAACTGACAAATTGGCCACTTTTTCATAACATAAGAACCAGATTGCAGGCTGTGTGATTGTGAGACTGTGAGTGTGAAGCTGTTAATTAATGTCTACAGATATTTCAAAATACTTTCAAATACCTCGAGTAATCAGAAAGCACAATATTAGTAGGTTCATCTGCACTAGAGCCTTCCTTGACCAGACGAGTGATAATTTTAGTCCGAAGACGCTCCTGAGAACCTGAGGAAAACACAATGAACATGAAGATTCTATTTATTGACAGCTGAATAACATGTAACTATTTGTGCTGTCCCGACTAACCATTAAAATACTTATTTCTATGACATAATTAAGTGTTTGTTAATCCAGCAAGTCATCAGAACTTCAAATAAATTCATAGGTTGTAAAGATTAGGAAATCAAAATGTGTAAAATAGGCTATATAAAAAACAAGCAGTTAAAATAGCCTTTTAGCGAATTTCTCTATAGGGAATAAGCTATTACCGTAGGTCTCATGGTTAGACTTAGTCCCGGGACCGATTTCCTTTTTCATTTTGATGTCCCTAGAAGCCAAAAATACCATCCGTTCAAATTCATATATATATGTGTGTGTCCATTAGCACGATAACTCGAGCAAAAATGATCCGATTTCGATGAAATTTGGTACAAACGTGTAAACCTACGTTTATTTGAACGAGTTCGCAAACCAGCATGATCGGACCATGAGAACGGGGTTTTATGGGGTAAAATAATGGTTTTTCTCATTTTTGACCCTCAAAACATAAATTTTCCCAAATTTCCTCTAGACCATTTTGAAGAGCTTAAAAAAAAAACAAATAATTCAGTATATTGTAGTGTTTTTGTATGGTTATTGGTTATAGAGAAAATTGTAAATTAAAAATTCCCATGTTATTCTTATGGAGAATAATTAAACTGTTGTAGTTTGCTTGTTTATGCATATATTTGGATCAAACTTGGCCAATCTATTTATTTTATACCAAGCTATTATTATTTTATTTAAAAAAAACACACTTTATTACCCTGTAGGCAGCAAACCTAGGTACCCGTTAAAACTAATGTTATTTGAATAGATTTAATCGAAAATCAAATCAGGCAAATGGGAATTCGTTTAGTCTGCAGGTTTGCTGCGGCGGGGGTATTTTAAATTCGGGGTTGATGCTAATATTTTATTGAATGTTTTAAGTAGCAATATCCTGTACAGCCAGTACCATTAAAATGAAATATTTATTAATTGTTATCTACGTTATTCAAGTTTATCCCACCTTACACCTTTAAACCAAATTTCATCAAAATCGGACAAAAATTACTTAAGTTATCGCGTTTGTGGACGTATATAAATATATATATATATATAAATCTATATATATACATATATAAAAATTTGAACGAATGGTGTTTTTGGCCTCTGGGGACATCAAAATGAAAAAGTAAATCAGTCCCGGGCCTAGGTCTTACCGTGCCACCTACAGTAATGGCTACTTCCCTATAGGAATATTCGCTAAAAAACACAAAAAAACAAACATACCGGAATGAATTAATTGTTATCTACTGAGATACATCATACTTCTAGAAATACTTACAATAGAAATATTTGTGCATTGCAGCATGGAAATAGAGCAGGATTAATACTTTTACTAACTACGTTTTATTTATTGTTTGACTATAAATTTAATCCAATTGATGTAGCCTACTTTACTAGTGTACTGTCTGTCATTCATACTCCACCTCTTGATTTAATACAAATTATATAGTTTTACAGTTTATATAGTTAAACTACTAAAAACAATGTTATGACAACAGAAAGTACTAATCAAATGGAAGAGATGTTAACTTTTGATGAATATTTTGATTACAAAGGTATTTAAGAGATCCGTAGAGACAAAAAACTGCCTCTTAATCAGGAATGAAATAGCTTCAGAAAAATAATGCTATAAGTACAATAAATTATTAGTACGGTCCACAAGAGTTTGCAGTTATTTACCCCGTGACTTTGAAGGAGCCAACAAGGACTGCGCGTTGTTGCCAAATCTAATAATACCAGCTGATTTGAAAATATTGTTTGGTATATTCAAATTAGTGAATGGGCGATGTTGCAAACGCTGTGCTAGTCCAATCTTGCTATTGGCTGCCACCAACTGCAGACTCTCGAGGCTCCTATTGTAAGTAATAACTTTTTGACTGCTACTTTGTATGGTCGCCATTTCATTGAAAAAGTATAAAGTATACAGAGACATTACACTGTCAAACAGTTTAATTTGACCGTGTTTTCTCTGTAAAAATATTAGGATAGTAGCAAGTGTCTTCTAACACTACAACCAAATAAAAATGCTGGGAGATGTATAGTACCCATAGGATAGCATAAATACTAGGTAATCAAGATGTTGATAAAATCCTAACCTATAAACGCACACCAGAAATAACAGAAATACCAAGGAACCTTGCTAGGGTCTTCGTCGCAGAAGTCCAGCAGAGTCTCGCAGAAGGAGCGACCCATGGCCTCGTAGTCCTGGGTGGTGAAGTGAGTCGCTGACCGCCCACCTAGAGTCGACCCTCCGAACGACGCTTCCATCGTGTAGCTGTTGGCGACGCCCATCATCCAAACAACCACGCGCCCAGTGCCCTCTTTGCTGCGCTGGATACGGAACTTGCAGTTCTCAAAGGAAAACTGTGGACAAGTTAAATTTACCAAGATGAAAACATATAAAAGCAATCTCTTAAGTATGACTTTTTGAATAGTAGAGACTTGGGATGTGTATGAGTACTTAAAATCGGAATGGGGAAAAATGAAATACTTAATCTTATTTTGGGACAGATGTGTTAGGAAATATCGAAGGACGATATCCCTGCAATCGTGGAAGATATTCATGATTTTTGTCGTGACAAACCTATCTTGTGTTCTTGATATTTTTAAGGTGAGCCTGCATCCTATGAGTTAAGCAGCTACATTTAATAACTAATTTTAAGAGTACTGACAATTAACGAGGGCAAAAGTAGAAAATGAGAACTTGCAATAGCTTTTGAACCTAGAAAAATCTTCTATGCGACTTTGTGATAACCTACACTAAGGCTAGTAGTTACTATGGTATTAGATTTGAGTACTTAGTTAAGTTTTAGTGGATTTATTCTACATGAACTTAATCTATAAAACCAAGTACCTACAGCAATAATTTTGTGATTAATATTTTAGCTTTGACAAACCTTATCAGCTGCATTCTTGTGGAGCATCAGGGGAAATACTTGCTCGTGAAGACGTTTGTCGGCGAAACGTTTGTTCTCACAGCCGTAAATGAAGACATTATGTTTACGAGAGTGAGCGTGAAGATCACAGTACATGGCAATCCCACACTCTTCCATCAATCTGTATACAACAGAGGATTATGAGGTTTGTTGGATATTGTAGTAGGGACAGCAAAAACATTCATGGATTGAAACACGGAAGAAGAAAATACTTGGCTTGAACAGTTTGGTATTTCAAATAAATTGCATTCTTTTTTGATCTGTTGTATCTACATTACAACAATAAAAGTAGTAGTTACTAAAATTCAGTTTTCAAAGAATTACTTTCAAAATTGGTTATTAATTTCTGTTTTGCATATGATCCCTTTACTGATGATGTACACCTACACATTCATCAACTCTAAATAAAATCTAATTTGTTCTGCTGAGTCAAACTAAAACTTTACCTTCGGATCATGAGCTTGGTGTGCCACACGGGCGGGTAAGTCTCCCGGATGACAGTCCGGTATTGCCGGTTCAGGTCCCGGCCAGTCAGTGAACACCGGTTGTTACCCACTATCACACCGTCAGGGTTCAGCATTGGCACTAGCTTGAAAATAAACTTCTCCCTAAGTTCCTGCAATTGAGAGTAAAATATCATTTGTATGGTAAAAAATTAAACATGCTCTCTCACTATAGAGCAAAAACAGTTTCGGTATGTTATGTAGACTAATCTATGATCATTAAATAATCCTGTACAGTACTAGTCCTGTGATGAAAATGAATAGTTCACCATTAACATACAAAAATTACTCAATAACCATAACCAAATATCTTAACTAACTGAATTTTGTATTATATTAATGAGCCATATGAACACCTACTTTGGCTTGCTGCGTGTCTCCAGTGAGAAAGTCCATGAAGCCTTTCATCATCCACGAGGAGGGAGTCTCGCCAGGATGTACTCTACCCGTGATCACGATGGCTTGCTTTTTCTGTGTAAAAAAATAAACATCAGAAATTAGCACATAAAATAAAACTGGTGAAATTTACCATTAGTAGGTAGTTATTTTCTTGCTAATGTTTTGTTTACCTTTGGTTCATCAATGGGGGAAGGGGCAGTGATGGTGAGGTAGTAGACGTTGTTACCAGCTAACGATCGGCAGAGAAGTCTCAGCTTGCTATACTCAGACTTGACCGGGTGGTTCTACAACAAAAAAAAAGAAATAACAATTCACAACGAAGAATATAACATTGTGATTTAAAAAAATACTTATTCCAATTTCCTTGGCTGAAATTACCAAGAACACATTTAAGGCAATAGATGGATTTAAAACAAAACTTACAACAGATTATGTTGTTGCCTCGTACAGTTAGCTATTTCTTGAAGATTTGTCCATGGGCGTGCATCTAACTTTTTTATAGGCGTGCCAGGGGTCTGGAGGGGATGGAATAACTCCTGGTTCAGAGGGGGGCCGATAAATGTTTAAAATTTAAGCAAAACATGACAAATTAATTAACAAATTTTTGCTTCGTTAATTAATTGTTTTTTTTGCATGGGGTTTTAAATTTGAATTTATTAATGCTGTGACCACTGTTACCCCCAAGAGGTTAAGCCACATGCTCCTTACATAATTCCTCTAGTCATCTCTATCTCTTCTTCATTTTTCTTCCCAGTCTCCTTTGGTTTCCTCCAGAATTAACTTTGATAAAGAGTATTCTTTTCTCATGAGATGTCCTTCCCACATACTACTAAAAAACACAGATCAACTTGATCCACCTCACCTGATAAGGTGGTGATCGCCTGTGATCTACCTCGGCTACAATATCTGGGTCTTTAATAACTACCTCAGTTCCCATTTGTGCTTCATCTTTTATTGTCCATTCTCATACCATAGGCCTACGCTTTTCCCAATAATTTATTACCAAGTACAATAATCATCTGTACCTACTGTTTTGGATTCAGAGTCCAATTTTCTGGTCCATACAGTCTGTTGTTTTCACTGCACAATTTGAAAAAAAAGTTTAAAGTGGGAGTCTTATAACAGGGGCTCAGGCCCCCCTAGCCCATTTTGACCCATGAATTTGTTTGCTATGCATGGACATTTATAAATTAAAACCCTGATAGTTATTAGTTAAAACCCACTACAACTTTTTAATAGTACTTTTCTTTTTGTTGTTGCCTTTGTTCTTGAGTGTGAAGTTTTTGTCTTGAGTAATCAAATCTTACTCAAGAGCACAAGCAGCAACAAAAAATGGTAATCTAATATAATTCAGGTTATTGAACATGGGATAGCAACAAATATAACTATATTTTATCAGAGTAAAGTTATTATTTTTTGGATTTAAAGTTAACTTTTCACTACAACCCCTACTATAGGTTAGTTCTTTTGTCACTTTTTTCCTACGACGCTAGGCACGAGCATGAGATTGTTTTTCACATTACTTCAGGCTGGTTGAAGCATTATCGCTTAGATAAAATCCATTGATGGTTTGGCAGGGTTTGAACCCGGAACCTCAGGGACCGAAGGCCCGTGCTCTAACCATTAGACCAGCTCCCCAATCATTGGTTATAGAAGCCGTACCTGCAGTTTGATGAGGTAGTCTTGCAGGTCTGTGTATGTGTAAGGGTAACACTGTGCTAGGTAGACTGTGTCATTGTCATGGGGAAACTCCAAGTTGAATGACAAAGTAAAGCTGGGATACTGGTCCTCTTCTCCATTCCTGCACAACATTTATACTAAAATGGGTATACCTGAGAAAAATATTGGAGCAATTCTTTCATTATGAAGTAGATGTTGTTGTGGGTATGAAGAACAGGCTTAAATTTACAGTTGTTGAATCTAAATAAAAAAAAAAAACACACAAAAATAACCACACATGATTGGAATATTTCATGACCAACTTTTTCAATCACATAGAAGGGAAGATTTATATGTACTAGAGGTCGCCCCATGGTCGAAAACTGACCAAACATATGTATTTTGCAACCTTTTCTATTTCCACCCCATGCTGTAAATTAAACATGTAATTAGGATTTATTCTAATTGTTTTGATTTTCTGATTTATATTTTGTTGGTATTTAGTCACCAGCATGGCAACCCATAGGGCCCATGCTATTTTGATAATTTTAAATTAGTTTTTTTTTTCATTATTTTTAGCTTATTTTAATTTATAAAGGGATTCTGCACATCTACAGGCAAATATCTTTCATGCATAGATTTTCCCTGCGATGCATATGAGCCGAGAAAAAAGGTTTCCAAGAAACATGCTTGCCTATCAATATATAAGATTACCTATTGAGAAGACACACACACTGTACAGGTAGGCATAGCCTACGCTTCCTATAAAAAAAAACCCATTCTAACCAAGAGCCCATCATCAAGAAAACTGATCCTTAGTTGCATAGTGGAAAAGTTAAATTAGGGGTAGATGTAGAGATTGCAGTACCTCCTGAATAAACGCATCCATTATGTGATTGATTACTGATTATGCCCTAAAGGCTCGCACACAGTGAAGAGATGAGACGTGATCACGATGGAGATGTATCTTGAAATCAAACTACGCAATGTCTACATCTACATAGTAGCTTCTACTGTGATTGGTGGGTTTAATGCCATACCAAACCTCCTCTTCCCATTCCATTTAGTCAATAACTCAATATATGATTAAACATCTTATCTGTTAGTAAAACAAGAACTTTACTACTGACTGTGGTTCGTTCTTGAAGTAGGTGATGTTGTCCCCACACCTGCGCCAGCCGGTGCCGTTAGCCAGAGCGTCCTTGTTGGAGTAGAGCAGAGGCTTCATCCCTACACAGTAGAGACTCTCCGCCTTGGTCAGGTTTACTATTGAAAATCTGTAAATAAAATCCAAATTATTAAATGTGGTAATTGGGTTTTTTGGCACATCTACAAAAGTATAATAATTGGACCGTTTTCCCTTAAAAGAGTCCAATCCAACTTTGACGTTAATAGAAATGCTAATGGCGTAGACAAAGTCTTCTTAGTACAACCTTCAATATATCCTACACCTGTCTAACTTAACAGTAATTTACAATTATGCAAATTCCGATGTGCGGTTAGTGATATCACATAGGTAAGTTAATGAAAAATTATCTGTGTTAAAGATTGGGGTGTTTTCCTTTATAGCAGAGTGCTTAGAGTCTTGGACTTCATTGCGGAGGGATTGGTTGATCGCGGCATATCCACAAAAGTATGAGTGGATTGAACTACCCCTACTGTACTATCTCACAAAAGCATTTGATATACTTTCATATTAAATGCCACTAGGGTAGAAACTAACAAAAAGTATTTTTATTACATCACCATAATAAGATAGTCCAACACAATGATCACATGCTATAAGACTAGGTAAGATTATAATAAAAAAAATTGCAATATTTAATTGGGACTCTAGAGTCTGTAGAAAATGAAAATATGTAAACTTTGGCTTCTGTTAATATTTCTTGAAATATTAAAATCCTATGTAAAGATTAAAACAATGTTCAAGCCTGATGATTAAAAGAATGTTTAAATTTTTTTACAACACCTTTACCTATAGACGAGCCTCCTGCGAGTGTTTTCAATCCGGAAGTAGAACCATTGCATATGTCTGTTGGTGTAAAGATCAGTTCGCAGTGACAGCTCATAATAGGTGTCTGTGATCTTCACTGCCTTGGCTAGGTTACCAGACTCAAACCTCGACTCAAATCTCAGGTCATCTTCCCTATCTGAGTTAGAAGGAAGGAAGAACCTGCTGCCCCCTACACTGGACCGACTAAACTGTCAAACAATAGAAAAGGCTAATTAGCCTAAATAAAATATAGCCAATGGAACTGTTTTTTTAGACATGTCCTTCTACCAAACTAAAACTTACACAATGCTTTCTATTTCTGTAGGCTATTGCATCCTGATGTTTCATTTTTACTAACCGAAAAAAAAACAACATGGAATGAAGAGGAAAAACAACTTAATACAGTAATAATTTGTGAATTCGAGCTTGTTCAAAATTGGCAAATTAACTGATGAAGGGGTTAGACGAAATAGCCTATTTGAAATGTCAATCTCAAATCAAGCCACAGAGTATCGAATTTTCAGGAAAAAGACAATTTAGGGTAAAAATAGTAATTTTAATACCCAGGATTGCCAAAAAATTGACAATTGCACAAGCCCTACTTTTGTACACTCAAAAAATCAAAGAAAATTTTTCTTACTTTGTGTATTTCTAATGAATTGATTGTAGACAGCTATGATGCTAGACTTACCAAACACAATATAGTTATTTTGTACAGAATTACATTTGCTTGAGTCTTAAAAATCTGTTTTGTAGGTATGTGGAATATTTATGTTTGCAAAATTATCGGCACATATTTTGTTTTACTCACATAATTGACAGCGCTCATAGGGTAGTACTGGAAGACAATGGTGCCAGCCTCCTCCCCGACAGGTTTGGGCTGAATCTCTCGACCTGTCGGCTGATAATACTGCTCGGGGCATGGAGGCATCACCTCAATATGGGTGATTCGTTCCTCAAGTACCTGTTAATAAGTGGTTTAAACTTTAAACTTCTATTAAGTTAAAGTTAAGACTTTAAGTCATAAATGCTCATTAGTAACATTTAATGATAAATATATAGGCCTATGATAAATCGGGATAAAGTAACTACCGATTTGCTAAAGTTACCTAGACACCAGCGTCAATTATTTAAATAATATGTCAATCACTTTTACAGTAGCTTATAAGATCTTTTTAGAATGGTAAAGTTTAGATATCCTATATCATCTAAGTTATTGTAGTTTAGTATGGTAGGAATATAGGGGAGAGTGGTACAAGGTGGGACACGGTATATAGTGGGACATTCCATATAACTTTTTTATCTTCAAAGCCATGTGGCCAGTTTCCCTCCAAAAGTGTTAAGTCATGGCCAACAGTGTGTTTTATGTTAGTTCTGAAGTTTCAGTCATGTTGGAAAGTACTGAATGACAGTCTGCTACAACTATAGTCTCAAAAGTTACATTTTTGAGGTAAGCAATCATCATTTTCTTATGAAATTAGTTTGATAAGCAGGTTAAATTTGATATGCCTAACATTAAAAAACCTTCTTTGTTCAATAGAAGGAGGTCAGGGATGTCTGAGATGCACTGTTTGGGGTAAAACTTAAAAACAATATAACCCTACATGTGGTACAAGGTGGGACAGTTATTTGTGGTATATAGTGGGACAATGTTAAATAAGGTGGTACAAAGTGGGAAATCGGTACATAGTGGGACAAGCAATTATAATTGATTTATTATACTATTATAGCAATTCATAATAGGCTATAAATACAAGCATACCCATATAAATATATGACATGCCTCATCTGCTTGGTAGGTTACCAAGAATAGGACACCTAGGGTTTGTTAAATAAAAAAAGCCCTTAACTTACTTCTCATGGTAAACCCTAACACGGTTTACCCAGAAACACAACCATTGTCATAATTTTGTGTTAGGCCTAGGTATTTTTAAACTGTTTAGTACTTATATTTTCAATTAAACAATTCCTTTCTTCTTTTTTACCTTCTTATAACATAAATAGAGTTTTAGCGGGGTCGGTTTTATGCAGAAGTAGACCTACATTTAACTCTTAAAATATAGACACATTCATTCATATCATAGTTATTCATCAAAGAACATTATAGTGAAATTTTACAAAAAAAATTATTTTTTCAGGTCCATAATGCCGAAGATTTGCCGCAAGAAGTTTTTGGAGCATGCAGAAGATGGAGCAATTTTGAGCCTTATAGCCTAGTTTAATTACTAACTATTTACTATAAGTTTTTACAAGTCACATAGGCCTATATCAATAAATATTTTTATTTGTCTGAAACTGTCTTATTTAAGTATACCTCCTATGCATAACAGGATGTCCCACTTTGTACCATTTATTGTCCCACTTTGTACCATATGCTGTCCCACTTTGTACCATATTGCTGTCCCACCTTGTACCAGGGTCGGTACATGTTGGGACAAGTGGTATAAAGCGGGACAAACGGTTTTTGGCCTTTTAAATACAGTGGAGTCCCGATAATCCGAACTTCGGTAATCCGAAAGTCCGCTTAATCCGAAACCAAAAAATATATTTTATAATTAAAAAAAAATTTTTGAAAATTTTTTTAATTTTTTTTTTTGAAATTTTTTTCGAAATTTTTTGAAGTTTTTTGGAAAGTTTTTGATTCTTTTTATTAAACTTTTGACACAGTTAGCTGTACCTCGTCAAAGTATTCTGTAGCGGCTGGGCGAGATAGACTTTTTTGTAGGTAGAGTATTTTAGTAAATTAATATTTCACCATTTTTGTTATTACCGTATCATTTTACATTTTCGTCCGCCAAATCACAAATGGATTTTACTAAGTGATAATGCTGCAGCCAATAGGTCTAGCCTTAAGTAATGTGAAAAACAATCCCGGGCTCGTGCCTGCGTCCGAAAAAAAGTAGTAAGAATAAGACCAAAAAGATTAAAAAAATAAAAAAATTTCAAAAAAAAATTTCAAAAAAAATTAAAAAAAAAAACAAAAACGTTTAATCCTAAATATTCGGTAATCCGAAATGGGCCCGGTCCCAACCATTTCGGACTAACGGGACTCTACTGTATAAGTTAATAATTTTGAAAAAAATATCATTAAAAGAGTTTTAAAAGTGCTTTATTTTTGTGTAAAGATTGTTCTTCTAAGTCAACTAATATTGAAGAAAAAAATGTTTTAATATTTTCGTCCCAGTATGTACCACTCTCCCCTACTATATTTTGAGCTTTCTCAGAAAAAAGTAAATGTATTAGCTCCCAGCTTTAACTTGGTGGCAAGCCCTGGTTTCACTAATTTCTTCAAAGCCTGGAGGTGAAAGTAGGTATAGTGTGTATCATATTTTTACAAAAAAAGAAAGAACCCCATATAACTGGTAAAATTATATATGGCCTGCCTAATTGCAAAATAACAAGTCACAGATTAATATGCTACAAAAACAAAACTAACCTCAAACTTGTCTTCCAAGAGATACACTTTCAAGTGGATCTGACCACCTTCCATTTCTAATGTCCATTTCTCTTAATTTTAGCTTTGGTATAGGCCTACTGATTACTAAATTTGACTACAGTACAGAGTTTGGTGAGTGAAACTTTACCTGACACTCAGCGGGCCAACGAGCTGCTTGTTGTGGACAGTCGAGTTCCTTGGGGAGGGCAAACAAATCTCTTGGTTCTCTGAGCTTAGCTACGGGCCGCAAAGTGCGACTGTCGGTGTTAATCTCTACCTGGTTACTCTTGAGGGTGTTTTGGAGAAAACTGCTCAGGTAAGATCCTGAAACCAGAAAATGTTGTAGGCCTGTGATATAAAACTCAGTTCATATTCATTTTTGTTCATAGGTCAATGACAAAATGAACTAAATCTATTATTGTTAGACAAAACTTTAATATCCGCTTCCATTAACTTAACAAAATAATCAATTTGACTAATAACCAAACTATTACCCCCAAGCTAACCTATTTGTTGTGAGTCTGTGGCTCAGTCAGTAGCATCGAAGACTTCAGGCCCAAGTCAGCGATGTCATGGGTTCGGGTTCTGGTCACTGGCAGACTGGCTACTTTGTATCACTACAGTGTTCACCCTTTTACTGAAGTGCCTACTGTCTGACCTCTTATTTTGCTGGATGTGTTCCATGCACAAGATATGTAGTTTATGTACGGATGGGCAAATGCAAGATTAAAAGAGCCCACTAGGCCTACCTCTAAAAAAACCTCAGCCTAACCAAAACCCAAACTTTGTACTGTATATGCGTTGTAACTTGTATGATTATTATTATGGAACTTTGTTAGTCTTTAAGGGTTCATAATGATGATAGTATGAAGGAGTCTAATATCTAAGTTTTGCCATATCATCAGAGGTGAGTGTTTAATAAAAATAAAAATAGAAACTTACAGCTTAGGTTAGTATGAAATATAAAATTTAAATATATTAAATACAGTAAAACAAATATATTGGCACTTTAACTTTAGGCTATGTATATTGTTTATATCATATCAAATTTTCATTTTCAAAACAAAGAAGCTAAAGAAAGCTACTGTATTTCTTCTTCTTCTACTTCTATTATAGTTTGCTTTAAAAAGCTGTCTTGTTCAAATTACCATGTAGCCACACTGTTAACCCTTATATCACGACTGTTCTATATATTTTACCCGTGCTTTCTCAAAATGCTAATTAGTTACAGTAATGATTATTTATTTCCTTTAAGAGGCGGTCGGATAGAGCCCCGTATCCCATATTTTGCAGGTGTCACGAGCAACAACACAGTCCTCCCAAAACAGACTTTTGTAATAGTACCACCCTTGGCCACCAGTTTCGTGGCTGTCGCATAACGGGATCTGAGATTGTTGACAACCCTGTGTTACCTAGAAACTTGAAAGCATCAACTCGACTACCCTCAGCCTGTGTCCTAGCCCTTGTCTATTGTCCCACCACACGTTTCACTTTCACTGGTTTGCTACCTTCGCTCACCCACCCTTTGCGTCTCAGCAGGTCTCAGTTCGTCACCGCACAATATGCTAATTTTCCACACAAAAAATTTTTTGGAGATACAAATAGCACTTTCAGTAAGACATTTCGATGTATACACATGTATTTTAATATAAAAATACATGATAATGTATTCAATTATAAATAATATACTAGTGCTACTGGGCTCAATAATGTAACTACTTGGCCTATCCCATACATTTTAGCGAATTTCCCTGTAATGAGGTAGCTATTACCGTAAGTGGCATGGTAAGACCTACGCCCGGAACCGATTTACTTTATCATTTTGATGTCCCCAGAGGCCAAAAACACCATTCGTTCAAATTTTTATATATATGTGTGTCCATGAACACGATAACTTGAGTAATTTTTGTCCGATTTTGATGAAATTTTGTTTGAAGGTGTAAGGCGGGAGGTGGGATAAACTTGAATGAGTTCGCGAACCAGCATGATCGGACCATGGGAACGGGGTTTTATGGGGTAAAAATTGTTTTTTCTAATTTTTGACCCTCTAAACAAAAAATTTCCCAATTTCTCTCCAGGCCTTTATAAAGAGCTTAAATAAACGGTATCAGCATTCTGACACATACTTTCTCCCATAAGTTTGTCAACAACCAACAACCAACAACCAAACCAACCAAGGTTTCCAACAGCCTTTATCATGTGTAAGCGGTGAGAGTATAAAACGGAAATGGGATTTGTACAATTTTGTTCAGAATTTAAAGGACTTTAAAATACTAAATTTTTAACAAAATTTTCGAGCCAATTTTGGGGAAATCCGATTTTTTCGTTATTTTATGGGGGTTTTATGGGAAAATAACATAGTTTTCAATAACTTTTGAACCGTAATTTTTACAGAAATGGGATTTGTACCATTTTGTTCAAAATATAAAGGACTATAACATACTAAATGTTTGAACATGTTTACAAAAGACTGAATATACGAATGCTTCGCAATATAATATCACTCACCCGATCGTCTTAGTCCATATTTTATATCTAATGATAGAAGGAATTTCTTTTAGATCTATCAGGCATAGCCCTAACGTAGGCCTGTAATTGAAATTACCTTCCACACTGGTTTAAAATAGTTAAAATACTACATCAACCTCACTACTGCACACTTTATTCAGGTTGAAATTTTCATTAACAAAGGTGCTCTTGTCTTTTCCACGAAACACTGAGAATTAAGCACATTAATGCGTTATCAACAGACATACTCACAGAAATACAGAATTGAATTAGGGGATTTGCTACGCGTTAACCAAAGCAAATTACAAGCAAAATTATTTATTTAAAAGTTTTTATAGTGTCATCAAGTTTTACGATAATCGTATTTAGGCCTAATCCTTATCAAACTGTAAAATTGGTGTAAATCCGTCGGCAAATATATAAATAAGTAAATAAATACACAGTCCACAAAACATTGATACGTTGACTACGTAAAGCTTTAAAAATTCATTATGGTTTGCCCAAAAAATCTTTCACTTGATGTGGTATCTTGGTAACAGTATCGAAGTAAAATAAAAATTCATGATGTAGCCCCTGAACTGATTAATTAGACTAATATGAGGTACGTACCTTTACGTCAACAGTTCAATTGTAGTAAGTAGAACTCACAACATGTTTCGCCTATTCAAACCTATTCAAACAGTATCGAAGTTATTAATCCCCTTTGGTTTTGGATTTTTTTTTAACATATCATATGTGACAGCTAGAAGTGAGAACTAATCCAAATGGCTGGTCGTTATTTCATAAAAGTTTAATAGTAAACATTGGAAGAAAATTTGACAAAAATCGAACAAAATTGGAGTTTTGATGGTTCGTTATTTTGTTTTCAAGGAAGTGGGGCCATGTTTTTATAGCCAAAGAAACTCACTAATCCAGTAAATACAGAAAAATGATTTGAACCTTGATCGGTATTCTAGTTTTCTAGGAGTAGACCGCGTAAAATGACATTTTGGCGTCACTGACAGAATGAAAGAATGGACAGACAGACAGAAATTGAGATAAGACTCGTTTCGACTTTCTTTGGCTATGAAACATAATGTAACCAGAAACTGCATGATTGTAAGAAATGTAGGCCTACAGACAAAACTGTATTTTATTTATATAGATATATGGAACGATTTAAATATAAAAATTAAAAAACAGTAGGTCCTATGTGTCGTATTTTTACGTTTCAACGCCATTTGAAGTTGCAATCTGGCTCTGGATGTTGTTTCTAGATTTTGCCTTATCCTGTGCCTCTAATATATAAATAGGATTTCGGATGGGCACTTGGGGTTTTATCTTAGCTCGAATATTATAGACCTAAAACGGGACATCGCAATTCCAAGATAATCCATGAGTCAGAAGCCGGCTTGGCTACGACGCAGTGCTGGTCCGGAGGGTGGATTTGGTTCCTGGAAGACCTTGATCGTATATACCACGTATGTCAGAAAATGCTTTTGTTCCACTGGACCTTGTTTTCATTTTGGGAAATAGTTTGTATCAAACCGTGTATTGCAGCAGATATCTTTATACAGCTAAGTCCATAATTAACGTACTAAGTATGACCAAAAGAGACGTTTATTCTAACGGAACTTGTTTTATATTGATGAATAGTTTGTATCAAACCGGGTGTTGTAGAACTACTTTTATCTCTGATGACAGTAATACTTTAATACATACGGTAAATACATAGTCCGAAAATATTAGATTCTTGTGAATTAAATATCATCATTTCCTTGGCATTATAATACATCAGGGATGTAACGACATAACGTTATTTATTTATTTAAACAGATCTGTGGCCAGTTTAAATGAATTGTATTTGGCGCGGTTTGAAAACGTGTGTTTGAACAATCGACTGTGCTGCCATCGGCCGGGACATCGTCGAACTAGTACTCAGTCGGCAAGCAAGGCTTTTTTGCAAGCTTTTACAAAAAAATACAAAACTTAATGTTAACCATCGAAAAATAAATATCTGTCACACTCAATACACTAATGAATATATGCTCCTCAATATGGCGTTTGAACCAGAATTGTTTATAGTTCCAGTCATTTTATATTTTAGCAGAAAGTATTGCAATTCCTTATGGGAAATGTAAGAAATGATTTATTTTATATCCGGCTTATAATTAAACATTATGATTTTTATATTGTACAGTCTTAATCCTACATACATTTACAATGTTTTGAGTGTGGGAAATAATTTTTTGAACACGGATAGACCAGAAAACGAGGAATTATTATATGCGCTCCATGTTAAAGTGACGGCCAGTGCCGGCAGCCGAGAATCTCTGTCCGACCGCCTCTTAATAAGCTGAGATTAATAACTTTAAGCTGGTGTGGTTAGACGTTTTCTAGTTCGAATGGCTTGTATAGTTATTTAAAGTTTAAGTTTATCATTTCAGTTGGATTTCTGTTTTACAAAATAAGTAATGGTGGTCATAGCGTGCTATTTTTGTCCATTAGGAGAATTTGGACAGTTAGTGGTGAATTCCAATTTCCTTTCTTTATTTTTGTCTCATCTTATTGTAGGCTTCATGTGCACTCTGTATTGATGTGATGCTCTATGTTTATTGTTTCATGGTGTCTTCGTTCACAATTTATACAACACTGAGATTCCCGTGAACAAAAAGAAAAACAGCTCCATTCAACAATAAAAAGTTATATGTTGAGTGAGGACATAACAACTAAACTTTTGTAACATCCATCAATGATTAAAACTTGACCTTAATACGTTCAGACCATACTGTAACAAATACAGAAGACTTATTTGAGTTTTTTTTTTTAGAATATGACCATGTGAAATGAAAGCTTTGACTTTGGATGGTATTACAGTACAAGTAGGTTTTACGTTCTATTGTAAAGTCTAAGGCTTATCTTGACGTTTGTTTAATATCTGGCTGTTGATTGCATGTTTTTATCCGTTTTCCTCAAATCTTTTAATACATAGTTTCGTCGGGTTTTAAATAAAATAAAATTTTTGTGAATCTCAAATTCTGATAAACAGCAATTTAAACGCGCTCTACCAACAGGAACATACCCTGCCGTCTTAAAACAGTCCGTAATAGTTCCATACATTACTTTAAGTATGCCAATTCTATATATGCATGTTTATTTATCTCATTTTTGGGTATATGGAAAAATGTAAATGAAAAGTATATACCTTGAGCATGTATATCAGCTTACGACTATGGTCGACTAAGTAGATCATTCATAATTCGTAAAGCATGTCAAAAATAACGGTACCCACCGGTACAGCTCAACAGCTCACGCTCAACTGTACTGTCAAAATTTAACTGACAAGTTTATTAAAATATGATTTCCTTACATAATGGCACAGTTGAGCCATATTTAGCCTTGACGTCTGGAGGCCAAAGATATTGAACAACCCCCCTTTCACCCTTCCATTCTAAGTATTGGACTACACAAGTATAGAATAAAAGAAAAAATACATGCGATTATTTATTTATGCAAATTATTTCAAATCGCAACATATTTTGGGATATAAAATACGTAAGTTAATTAATAGTGAAATGAAGATATGAATTCATTTATCTTATACATTAAAAAAACTTTTGCAAAACTTAATTATGACAGCTAGCTGACTATACTACTGGACCGAATTACACACGGTTAGTGCGTATGAAAGATATTTTTCCTGTTAGTAAATGTGGGTGCAGACTGCAGAATCCCTTTATAAATTAAAATAGCCTCAAAAATAAGCACAAAAATGAATTTATAAGCCTATAAAGGATTTCCTTACTTTTTTTAAGTAATGTGTAGTGAGTATTCAGTGAAAATAAGAATTTAATCCGGGACAATTTCCTAAACAAGCTGTATAGTATAACGATCGAGTCCTCGTCTCGGCCAGGAAATGAGCGAGAGTCGAAAATACAATTTTCCTACAGTCACCCGACAAAGTTGGCTTCCTTGTACTGTTTATAGTACAGAAAGCTGCTAATTGCTACATATTTATACTTTGTCGTACGGTTTATACTTTGCCGTACGGTTTATACTTTGGCGCACATTAGGATTCCAACGCAACATCAAAAAACAACGTGGTTCTATTACGCACGTAATCCGTGTACGCTTGGAAATAGGTTGGCAACACTTAAAGATAGTAATACATACTATGAGTAGCTGATTAACTACCATGAACTACGATTTAACCTGTCATTTCGTGTTTATAGTTACGGTATTTCTGAACTTACTGGACTTTTCTTTTAAACGTTTTTAAAATATTCCTACCATCTTAATAAACAAGAAAATATCTTTAAAGCATTTTTTAGGTGCGGAAACCACTTCAAATTACAAAAACATACGGAACTATTTTCTCAAGTCGCGGAGCACATTTCTTGCCGAGGAAAAATAGCTGAGTGATACGGACCGGGTACTACTTTCTCTAGGGCACCTATTTGTGTTGCCAGATGAACCTATAAAAACGTGTTGTATAGTGTTTGAAAGACTAATTATTTATGCTTTATAGTGACTGTAGGAAAAATATAATGTGTAACACGAGTGCAAAAGGCCTCACTAGTTACACAAATAACTATTCCGCCCATGCGTTGAACTATTTATCGTCGCACTGCATCAACTGCAGTTATAGAGTATTTAAATTCGAAGTGTTGGCATTAATTCAAATTCATTAGATAACGTAAAAATCTTGTCGTCGGCTATTGCTTTATTTACTGTATTAAAAATAAATATATGCGCTTATAAGCTACTACTTTATCTCTGTCATACATGACCAAAAGTAAGTAAACTAAAAAATGTGTCCTGAAAATCACTCTAAAGACTTTTTTCAACACTGGTCGCATCTTTTATAGAATAACTTTATAAGGATAAAATTTATCCAAGCCGATATTTTATAGGGTAATAAGTCCGAAACGCTCACTAGCAAAACACCCAATGATTTTTATTAACAAACTAAGAAAAAAGGTTTATTTCAGAAATTAATTAGTTTTTATGGAGATGGAACCTTGAAAACTATTCTAAACGGAATTTAAATCCTGCAAAATATTCGTATCCAATAAACGCAGTTTAATTTACAAAGATAAAACTTTTCCATTTCCTACGGTGCGTGTAAGAAAGCTAAACTCACTAATGCACAAAGCTGGGCGTTTATGTACAGCATCTAGATTTTTTACTTTGTAAACCATACCTGACGATATAGATCTACAGAGCACAGCGCCCTCGTTGTAGAAAAATGACATCTCTGACGCCCAAAATCACATTCGCCGTCGAAAACTTTCGCTACCTACGAAGGAAATGGGTTATTGATACAGTTTTCTTCAAAAAATTTCTACATTTTTCTTCTGGAGTCAATATTTTTTACGATCTACAACCAAAGGTAGTCTTCTATGTACATTAGCAATAAATAAACGAAAATGGCGAAAAGGAGTATAATACAACAGTAGGAACAGTACATTCGATACTTTAAAAATGTTACACTAAAAATTATTTGTTTCACTTATGTGATTGATGGTTATTTTGATGTACATGTCGAACAAACTTTGCACTCGCGGGGAAATCACAAGCGAAACTTTTCCCTCCATAAATAAAACGTTTACCCTCCAAAGCACGGGAAATGGCCAACTGCGAACTGCTGGGGCTGGGATGTTCCAGAGATACTGGCGGGTTGAGGAGTGAGTGTTAAGTCCCGTCAGACCGCCAAGTTACTTTGACAAGTCATGCTACTTGTCGTGCGTGCCTCCCCCCCTCTCTCTCCCCCCCCTGAGGATCGCTGTAAACTATGCCAGAGATACTAAGAACTCTCCATCGAGCTGGGTTGACATCAATAAGTCTCGGTTTAAAATACAAATCTTCAATAAGTAGGTCAAGAATGATGTATGCATATGATTCTTTTTATTGGAATTCCTTGGCTTGGAGATTTATAAGAAGTTGCAGGACGAATTTGTGTACTTTGTACTCATTGCGATACAGTTTAGAATGATATATTTTTGTTGGTGTGTTTGGTCTAGGTATGGTAGACAAATCCTAAAAATCTATTGAAAAGTGGGTTTAAATTCAAACAAATCCTAAGCTGCAAATTTAAAAAATTTTGAAATATCACGGCCAAAAAATAAAGAACAATTCGTGTACAGCAAACAAAACAAAACTGAATACCAAATTACTTATGTGTAAAAGATAAATATAGTCCATCCTTAAAAGGTTGAGGAAAAAAACATAATATTATGTACCAACTACAAGCAACACCCCTAAACTTACAAAAAACCACGACCATGCAAAAATGAGACCCACTTCTTAAAAAGGTCCTACAATTTATCATAAAAGGTATTATCGTATACTGTACATAAAAGTTGTGGACCAGATTTAGACTTGGATGCTTGTAGAAATGCCATTTACGTGAAACCGAGCCCATCGGAAACATCAATTAGTGGTTACTTTTCTCAAAATAATTAGATTGATATAATTACTCCGCTCAATAACACAAACAGACACCTGCATTGCACCCCTAGTTATATTTATAATGCAGTGATACCATGAATGTGACGTGTTGAAAAATAGTCGTAAAAAATGATATTAGGCCTCTATTTTTAACTCAGAAATAATAGGTCACAATCAGTTAACAAAAGCCATAAATTACGAAACAGACATGAACACTACCTCCACTAGTATGCAGCAATGAGATGATTAAATGCAATAACTTTACCAAGAGCTTGAACAAATTTTGAAAGGTATTAAATAAAACAAAACGAAAATGAATAACAATTTTCTAAGGAGAAGTAAAAAAGTGAGTAGGTCAGATCCTCTAGTAGTCCAGCAGATTATATTCACTACACTTGGTTTATTTCCGCAGAGTTCATTCTTTACGATGGCGTGCGTTGAAGTCATTTTGTCAATCAAGGTCATTTCTAGTCATTTGCAGAAAATGTGAAACCTTGTGACTTGGGATATAAGAATGAACTTAACTCAAATAAATTGCAAGTATGAGGGCTTTTGTGTGTTTCTATAGTAAAACTTCCGATTTTGAAATTAGGTTAATTATGTTTAAATGTTTACATGTTGTAAATATAGTCAGAGCTTGGTAGCTGAGTGAATAGTGTAAGCCTAGTATACGTAAGGTCACCGGTTTGATCGTAAGAAAAATTAGAAGGTTTTCATTGGTCATCAGGTTTGTTGTGTCCTTGATAAAAAGTCCCAGTTGTCTGGTCACCATTGATAAACGTGAAGGAGCTCCAGACAAGCCACCGGATTTTAATGTATTCCTGCCATTTCACAATTTATACAATTTGTTTAGTGTAATTGTTCTTAGTAAATGGGCCTGATAAAAAAATATCAACTGGCGTTTAATTGAATTATAAAGTGGCCATGCCACTGGGAAATAAATAAACACACACAAAAATAAAGAAAAGAATGACTGTTTCTTAAATAACTCTATTTAGGAACTATTTATTAATGTTTTCAACACAAGTTCTTTCTTAACACAGTAGTCAAAACCCAAAACTTTTTATGTCAGTTAGGCCAAGGCCCCACTAGAAAAAGTTTTTTTCTAGTGGGGCCTTGGTTAGGCCTACTTTAACAGAATCGTAGGCCATACATTTCTTAAAAAACCTGAATCCGAAATCATATGGTCAAATGATGTAAATATTTACCAAACCTTTTTGAAACAACAACAAAATAACTGATCAAACTCAGATCGGTGAAATAAAAAAATCAGACATTAAAATTTTGAAATTATTAGTTTCGTCTATCTATCAACTAAACGGCACGGTTAAATATTTATCTTTTTAGGAAAATGAAAGCAGAAGAAATCCAGTCTATTAAGCCAAAAGAAATTGGACGTCGATCTCCTTCTGAGGAAAAGTTAGTTAAAAGTGCTGATAAAGTTGTTGACCATCAAGGTATTGATTTTCAAGATAAAGAAATATTAGTACAACAAGATGATACACAAGTTGACGATCAATGTATTGAAAATGAAGATGACATTGATACAAAAACACGTGAAAATCAAGCAACCACCACTCAATCATCCGAGAATCCAAAAGAGGAAACCGATAATTTGGGTAATGCGTCATCTTCATCAGTCGACTACAAACGTTTAGTATTGTGGCGCAATCCGCGGTTGACTTTATTTTACTGTCTTAAAGAACTGCTTCTTTACACACAAAAAATGCTTGACAAAGCAATCCAATGCCGGAAGGTCATCTATGTTGTAATCCTTCTTCTTGTTGTATCCCGATGTCTTGTCTACTCGTTCTTTTCAAACCACCCATTTGTACTACGGGTGCAGCAGAAGTTCCTCAGGTGCATTTATTGGTTCTCCCTAGGGATGTTGTCTTCTGTAGGGTTAGGGACAGGAGTTCACACCTTTGCGTTGTACTTGGGTCCTTACATAGCCTCAGTGACTGTAGCAGCCAATGAATGTGGCTATCTTGACTTTGGAGAGCAAGCCAATCAGACCACACACTGCCCTCAAGATTCCGACCATAGACAAGTCGCTACGTTGTGGAACATCATGAGCAAAGTACGTTTGGAGTCTTACATGTGGGGCCTGGGCACGGCTGTAGGGGAACTTCCACCTTACTTCATGGGTAGAGCCGCAAGAATCTCCGGGGAAGAAAAAGACGCGCTTCTGGAGATCGAAGAGCTAGAAAGAAAATCTCCGGAATCTCTCACGTTCTTGGATCGAGTCAAGTTAAGCGTGAGATACTTGGTAGTCGAAGCTGGATTTTGGGGGATCCTCGCATGCGCGTCAATTCCAAATCCCTTTTTCGATTTGGCAGGAATCACATGCGGTAGTTTCCTGGTTCCATTTTGGACATTTTTCGGAGCGACTGTCATCGGCAAAGCCATAATCAAGACAACCATCCAACAAGTATTTGTTATACTTTCGTTCAACAATTTCTTTCTCGATTGGGTGTTTGAGATGGTTTCTAAAATACCAATGGTTGGTGGTCGGTTGGAAACTTACTTCTCGGAATATATAGCCAAGCAGAAGAAGAAGCTAAGTGGAGACAGGGTTGTTGATAATGCAAGTAGCGGATGGTTTTCCATGCTGTACCACGGCTTTGTTGTGTGCACATTTTTTCATTGTTTTGTATCAATTATCAACTCTTTAGCTCAAAGTCACTTCCGGCGTCTTGAACGAGATGAAAGTAACAAGTGTAAATAAAAATTGTATGCTAATTTTGCTTTATTTTGTTTGAGTGATTTTTAAAATATGACCTAAGTTTTAACAGTTTCATCACCTATCCACTCTTATACAGATGTCAAATTATTACCATTAGATGACCATTTGAGATATGGTCGTTACTGGGAGAGTTTTCATCCAAATATAAAAAGAACGAGTTTGAATTAGTGTGGCTTTGTGGCTCAATAACTCACTTATTCAACCAAAATAATAAATGCAGTACAATTTTTGGTACTTTCCTGTTAAAGGGAACATTCATTATTATCGATGATTTGTTTTCTCAATATATCGGTATTAACTAATTGAAACATATCAGCTGACAACTAAATAAAAATATTGGTTAGTATCAACAAACAATAATTAAAAAAAAAATATATTGGAACAAACTGTTCTAAACTAACCTAACAAAACTAACCAAACTTACTGTAACATTTAAAAATTCCGTTTAATATTCTCCACTTGCCTTTTCTGCGAAACGGCACACGGAAGATTTCTCAGGTGCCGTTTGACGTCACTAACTGCTGACGTCACTTTGAGGGAACACCAATACTGCAACGATACGGTATGTGCCATCGGTCTCGGTGGTGCAGTGGATAGCGTTGCGGGCTGATAATCCGAATGTTCCGGGTTCGAATCCCGCCGGCGGCACTAACTTTTTATCAACAATTTTTCATATCAGCAAGTTTGGTTGGTTTGGTTAGGTTATGACAGTTTAATTTTATATTTAAAAAATTGAATTTTTAGGCAATTATAATTTTATTTTATGAAAAAAAACTATTTTTTGGATTGGTAAACCTTTATTTGATTTGTCCATTATCAGCACGTTTGGTTAGTTTGGTTAGGTTATGACAGTTTAATTTAATAATAGACAATTATAAAATTGTCTGTTTCTTCAGACGCAGCAGTTAGTGACGTCAGCAGTTAGTGACGTCAAACGGCACCTGAGAAATCTTCCGTGTGCCCCACCGCCTTTTCTGTTATCAAACGGAATGGTTCAGCAAGTTTGGTTGGTTATGTTAGGTTAGCTTCTCGGTATTTACTCAAGGGAGGTACAGAAGAGCCTTCGATGACGTCAGCTGTCAGATCTCCTCTTGAGGGAACACCATTACCGCAACGATACGGAATCCAGTCATCAGCCTCGGTGGTGTAGTGAATCGTCGGGCTGATAATCCGAAGGTGCCATGTTCGAATCCCGCTGGCTGCACTAACTTTTTGTCAACAATTTTTTTTCATATCAACAAGTTTGGTTGGTTGGGTTAGGTTATGACAGTTTAATTTTATAATTAAAAATTATAAAATTGAATTTTAGGCATTTATAATTTTGTTTTATGAACAAAACTATTTTTTAGATTAGTAAACCTTCATTCGATTTTTTCATTATCAGCACGTTTGGTTTTGTTATGACAGTTTAATTTAATAATTGAAAAATGTTGAGATTAATTTTAAAATTTTTCTTAATTTTATAATAACTAGGCCTAATAGTGAAGTAAAAATTACGACCTGTGCTCTCTACTACAACGCTGTTAACGGAGGAATTTTGAACTAAACTATTATGTCATCGTTGCCTCATTTGTACCTCCCTTAAGTCAGACCCCATATAATCGACTATATTTTAGCCTGAACCAGATCAGTTGTCAATTTGTAATGGAAATGTTAAAGGAAAACCAAAAGATCGATATGTAGAAACAATCTTCGATAATAATGAATGTTCCCTTTGACCGGAAAGTACCAAAAACTTTTTGTATAAAACTAAATTAAAATAACGTTACTTCATCCAATCTTAATCATTGGCAAACTTTTAAATAAACCAAAACTAACTGAACTTCCACACAATCATGGACACTGTAGTGACTCTTAACCAAGAGTAAGTTTTTAATTTGCCTTTTGAAGCTGCTCAAGTCCGGCTCCAGCTGAAAGGAGGAAAAGTTTTAATTCCGTTGCAATGAAAATGTGTCATAAAGAGTGAAGTTGAGTGAGATGGCAAAAGGCAATTTAAGTTGTGAATTGTTACGTGGTGAATATAACTGAATAGGTGGGAATTTAAATTGATGTAGGTTCCTTTTAATCAGAATAAAGGGCTTCCAAAACGTATATAGAGGGCAATGTTAAACAACTAAAACATTTATCTCTCGTAACTCTCGTGAAATGCCACTGGCGTTGAAAAAAAAAAAAAAAAAAAAATGTTGCAATTTTGTGATGAAGTAAAGTATTCCTTGCAAGATGTTTTTCTATTCAACCAAAGAATACCCTGACTTCCTTCTTCTGGAGTCGGGAAAGGAAATACGTTTTGACACACTCTTACACCCACATCGGCACTGCGTACAGTGTGGGAAAATTACTCCGTAATAAATAAGCTGTTATCATGATCAGATTTTGCAAATTTAGAACGTTTGAGGAGAATAATCCTGTACACACGATGTCAATACAAGCAAGGAAGCGCAGGTTCCTGTCGAGCTCAACATCATTAATAGGAAACTGATGTTGCTTTTATTACCTGAACTTGATTGAGAATTTCACGAAAATCTGTTTTACTGGTATTTGAACTCAGTGAGCTGCTCTCGAACCACTGAAGCATGGAGCTCGCTTGCCAAAGGCTTACTGAATAATATCAACTGTGTCTTAAGCCAGAACATCATTTAAGAGCTCAGAGATCAATAAGAGGTTCCAGTTAGGAACCGTCAAAAAGCTACTGACTATTCTCAAGATCGAACCATCGAACCTCCGGTGTAGGCGGGTACTACACATGAATGAGTAGATGGATACAGTACCTACTGTTTGAACCATATAGTCTAAGGCCAAGGTGAGTGTTGACTGGGGATTGAAGAAAGTACTAGCCTTTTTTGTATCAAATAGTCAATGCTTTTATACTGACCAAAAGATCACCTGGTTCTATGGTCAGGACCATTTACTGAAATCCCAATGATCAAGGACAGTTGGTTCAAGTTTCGAACCATCAATAATCCTGTGATTTTCTCAGGACCAAAGCGGCGACCTTCTCATTGCCAAGTGTGTAATAACATAGATGAATCACACTCCCTTAGTAGATTTCTCATCCTTATGGAACAGCTGAAGCCAATTTTATTGTTAGTTCTGTCTTGTACACTGTAGAGGTTTTTTTCTTTACAATTTGTTTCTTGTTATTTCAGTCATTTAAAACCTAGTTTAACCAAATAAAACTATATAATCATAAAGAATAACTAGTACCCTTGTTATATAACCGAACAGTAAAGCACAACAAATCATTAAATCAACCCTAAAATAATATAAACAAAATTTCGTTTACACTAAAGCCCAGTGTCACTGGACGTAAACTAGACACGAAAAACGAACTTTAAAATTTACAATGGGATTAGAAGTCTACTTTTGGTTGGTTAGTTTGTGGTACTACCAAGTGAGTACTACCATAGACAAAAATAAATACCGTAGACTGTCAGCCGTGCTGCGGTTACCACAGGTTCTGGCGCACACCGCTGGGAGCACCGTGTAGTTATGGCGTACGCGCTACATAACTACACGGTGCTCCCAGCGGTGTGCGCCAGAACCTATGGTAACCGCAGCACGGCTGGGATATTTAATTATTTTTGTCTATGGTACTACAACCACTAACCTACTCATGACAATGTATTAATTTATTCAACCTTTAACATATCAATTCCAGCTGTTATGTATATAGCTTGTCTTGTATCAGGATTCAGGGTAGTCCTACTACATTGTGCACTCTTTTGTCACTTGAGCTCGAGTAAGTTGATTAATTCCGTAGCAAACTTAATGGGGAAAAAGAAAGTCAAGTCAATCAGTAGCAATGAACACAGAACCTGTATTGTCAGTAGGCTGCAATAGAAACTTATAAAAGCAATTTCTTTAAACGGGAGGGAATTGGTTGCGTTTTGGCGGGAGTCAACGCGTGTAATTGAATGCGTGTTGCGGGATATTGACCAAACTAAACGATGGATCGGGAGACGAATAGACGATTAATGGTCCCAAACCGGAGTTACACCTCAAGTTGGGGGTGTTTCTACTAAAACAATCCTTACGTGTCGTGCTTTGCATATTGACTCGCAAGATATGTGAACGCCATCCCAACCTTGCGGTTTATGTATTCAATATGTGGATATGTGTTACCTTCGGTCTATTATATTTCACTTCACTTGTAATAAAAGTTAGGTTTATTATTACTTCAGAAAAGGTTGTTACTTTTTCTTTATATACATCCGAAATGGACACAGTAGGAATAAACATCAGTATTATCAGGAAAATATAGAATGATGATACTTAATCACATTAGAAGCTATTTTCAATTTGCATAAATAATTTGATGTCTTCAACAGGAAATCCACACTTTCCACCATAACCTGCTTAGGAATTCAATGTAAATTCAATGAATACACCGATTTTATTTGCCTAGATGTTTGTGTACTTTATCCTGCAGCAATTAATTACAATTAGTGTTTTGGGTACCCTGAAATGAATGAAGTACATGTTGTCTTGTATCTCGGGTTCACTACAAACACTGCAAGAACATCCACTTCTTACTGATTAAATATAAGGTATGGACACCTCAAACAAGATTATTCGACCTTTTGACCAAACAACGAAGTAGACAAGTAGACTAAATCCGAACCAAAAAGTGTATTACATGACGGATGCTTTAACAATTAAGCTTTGCATTTAATTCACGTCGGGCTTTTAGTAGGATAGTTTAAATTGTTATCGAAAAGTTTGAGAAAAAACTTAATATTTAATACGGTTATTCAAACTGTCCTTCCTAGAACAATAAAGTAAAATATGACGAATGTATTGTATGAACCAAAGTGTAAATTTAGTTCAATCCTGAGACTAGGAGGATAAGAAACCCGATTAGATAATTAAATTACATAATTATTTCATTCCTCCCGTTGCAACAAACCTTAATGCTAAGTAAATTTTCATTCAATTTACTGGAATGTTAGTCCGAAACAAAACTCAATACCTAGCTACTTTCCTACGAAAAAGTTTTTTTATAAAAA